TAATATTCAATTTAAGGCATTTCGGTTATGCAGTTGATATCATTTCGAATCTCGATTAGAACTCTAGTCTCTTCCAATTCGATGATAATTTGCTGAGATTGTTGATGTTCCATTAATTTGACTTGATGTCTAGTGGTTGGACCTTTTTACCTTTGTGTAGATTCTTGAACAATCTCAATTCAACAAGTCAAACTTTTCTTTCTTTTTTTACCTTCTAAATACAATAGAACTTTTTTTTCTTCTCTTTTTCTTGAGGAAAAAAGTTTCTACAGGTAGTTTTCTTCTCTCTTTCATCGTCATCTTCTTCGTCATCTACTTTGACTCTTTACATTTCTATGAGATCTTTTCATTGTAATTCTCCTTCTCTCTCTCTCTCTCTCTCACTCACTAACTCACTCATTCTCTCACAGGTAAACTATTTTCTCATACAAAGAAACGGGAGCGACTTGAGTTTCTTTTGCAAAAAACGTTTAGCAATGCAAACCCAACTTCTTATGAATGATGATAAAAACCTGATCCATCATATTCAAATGTTGTCCAATACAATTTTTAGAAAGATGAAGCAAAAGCTTTTGTGAAAATAAAACGAAGATGAGGATCAAAATGGCGACTATTAAAGTGTAAGGTGTGATAACCTTACGCGATTTACCTGTAAATAGAAATCAATATAATTACTCAACTATTTAAATGTAGTTTCACAAACTGAGTATTGATCAAATCAAATTAAATAGAACCAAATTACTTGTAGTATCTTGTAAACGAAATGAGAAATATTAATATTACTTGATAATCTGAAAACTTTGAAGCAAAGACACAATTTACTAATTGCTATTAATGCAAATTCAAATTTCATTATCTAAATGCATTTTCACTTAGGGATAAGTTAATGGCTATTCTGATGACCTTCTTGTCCTTCATCGTAAATACAATTGACATTGTTAAAGTATAATTGATAAGAGAGTAAAAAAAACTAAGATGAATGACAATACTGACCATTGGTTTGAAAGACGAATTTTAAAAATTAGAAATTGACCCCATAAAAGTGACCTTTTCCCTATTGAAAGGATAGGACAAACTTAATTCGTTTTATCAATCGCTAAATTGTCCAACATAAATCACTGAAGACGATGATGAGGATGAGGATATGATAAGATGATGGAAACATTTAGAATGCAAAAGTTTATCTCAATTTTATCACAATAATATCATAAAAAGTGATGATAATTTGGGTTATTATCTAATTCTCATTGTCCAGGTAAAATAGGGGAAAAGTTAATTCAAATTATCTTAATCGTTGGAACCCTTGATAATCAACAATTGGACACAAATTTAACACGCATTTAATAATCTTAATACAATGAAAGGTAATCACCACATCACCTTTAGGTAAAAAGTTATCATCTCATTGTTACCTCGATATCAATGATAATAGGATGATGATGATGATCGGACATTTGAGCAGATAAAAGTTAATTGAACCATATCATGTTAACATGGTGATGATCAGGATGAAGATGATTATAAAATTGTTATTCTTATGATAATTAACGATTGGTAAATGGTTACATCACTAAAGATTATTTAATGAACCTGAAGCAAATTGAAAGAAAGTTGTAATTCTGTCAATATCTAATGTCCATAACTAAATGTCCAATCAACCGATAACTTTAGATACCAAATCGTTAAATGATGGACACTTGACAGATCTGGTGAATTGGTGACAACAATTTAGTTACTATTACTAAATAGTTTCCATTGATTGTTGATCAATAATAATTCAACAAGTAACACAATTTACAATGATTATAATGAGCTAGAAAAATTGTCGCAAATTAAAACAATTTTAACCTGAGAATTGGTATTGAATTGATTTTGTGACAATTATTTTTTCCTTTTCCTTTGGACTAGATTAACATTTGATTATAATGATCACCCTGTTGATGATTTACATAATCGTTGATTGTGGTAAACAATAATCAAACATTACAATTGTTTCCAAGTTTAATCCGCTTAACCTAAAACTATTAACTATCAACAAAACTAAATCAAGTTCTAGTTATCATATGATAATAATACAAAATAATCAGGAAACATATTAAATTTTTACTTATTGTAAACTTTTATCAATACCATTAGGTTGATACCCATTGGTTTACAGAGTGTATCATTGTTATTGGAATTGAATCAGTTAATTGTGATGAAAATTTATTCGCAAACAATTTAATCTCAAATGGAAAAAGTTAAATTATCATAATAAGTACTTAGCCGAACCCAAGAAGATAAAATTTTGACCTGAATTTGATGAGATTCGTGAGATTAGCTATAAGAAGTGTTAAGGTGCTAATATCTCAAGACGATAAGATTATAATATCAATCACTTTGTTTTTTATTCACTTTTCATCTTCACCTTCATTGAGATCAATTGGCGAAACTTTAAATCTCCAAAGTCCATTCCAACTGAAATGGTCAAAACAATTTATTCGATGGGTCAAAGGTAAGGATTAGACAAAGATAGATAGATAGAGAGAGAGAGAGAGAGAGAGAGAGAGAGAGAGAGAGAGAGAGAGAGAGAGAGAGAGAGAGATTATCCTTCGTAACCTTTTTTCTCCTTGATCCCTCATCTTAAAAGATAAATTCTTGTTCATCTTTTCAGAGACATTGTCTTGCCCGAGGCTCTCTACCTGTACCCATTTCTAGGGGAGTGCTCACGTTTACGACTCCATTGTACTAAAATGTTGTGATTCTTTGTAATAATACATAATGTTCAAAATGGTCTTCTTATCATCTTCTTTCTGTTTGTATTTGGTGATAGATTAACATTTTAACTGTAATCTCAATATAATGGCTAAAAAAGCAGAGACTCAGATTATCATCATCATCTTTATCATCCGATGGTTATATTACATTTCCAAATCCATAAATAGGGTTTTTGTCATTCACATATTTGATAATCTGAAGATGAAGAGATGAGGATTTGTTTTCTCATTTTCTATCCCAATGTTGGGTATGAATGTCAACTAATATCATCTCTAGACAACAACGATCAAGGATGATGATGACAATTCATGATGATAATCAACGATAATAACAAGAGTGGTAACAATACTGTGAACAAAAATCAATCTTGAAAGGTTGATTATCTTTGCGAGTATAATTTAGATGAAGAAACTGCTCTTTTTTTTCATTCAATGAATATAAATCCAATAAAGTGAAACTATTGATGAACAATGAAAAACTAAGATGATAAACTAAAGGTGAATAAAAATAATTGCAAATCCATATTCATCCATGTGAATAACATTGAAAACCTTCAACACTGACCAATGGTCAACAATGATGATGAACAAAAAGCTTTTATATACTCACATCTTTACATTTGTCTCTTTGTTTTCAATTGTTTCACTTTATTTCGTGAAACTGAAACTATTAACTGTCAACGAAAGTCCATAAAAGTCCATTGTGTCCATAGAAAATAAAATTTACTCCTTTTCTTTGCTTCGCCTCCTCCACCTTCTTACCTGCGATGTTTGTGTTACTTTTGGCCTAAAATTTTGTCCCTTTTGTCCTTTTGTTGAATATCGATGAGAATTGAACATAGTTACAGTTCAGTTTCTTCCTTTACCTGATATTAGTTTGGAAAATTTCCAATAAATATCAGCGTTTCTTTCGTTCTCAATGGTCTCAAAAGATTTCCATTCAATGATACAATCGATGGTCAAAACAATTACGATCACGATCATCGGAATAATAAAAACTCCAAGAATTGATTTACCAGAGAAAATCAACAAAATTTCATTTACATTAATTCGATTCGAAGGTCACTTTCTTACCAATTTTCTTCAACTCCGTTATCCCGTTATTCATTTAGGTAAATTAGATCATTTCTATAATCAGTTAATGGGTTTTCTTATTCAAATTGTTTCGCAAATTCTGTAACAACAGGTTACCTTAGATTTGGAAGGTAAGTTACACTCGAAGATCGTAAATCCATATTAATGAATGAAAGTGACATTTACGTTAAAACCCTTTTTACGATCATTAATTTGCGAACTTCAAGGACAGAGGAGAAGAAAAAATTACTCGAAAAGGATTTTCTTCTTCTTCCTTTCTATTATCATCATCATCTAACTGCACCTCGCATCAATTTAATCTCATTCTCTCTCTAAGTGGTCATTCACCATTTCCCTCCTCATCTTATCCCTCCTTCTATTAACGTAATCATCAATAGACATCTTCTCATTTTTTATCATCTTAAATGGTTAATCGGTTAAGAAGAAATTTCATCTCAAGGCCAAAATTTTATGTAACCGAAAGTTGAAAGGGTAAAATGTTACCTGTAAGATGAGCGACATCATTGTATTGATAATCCGTTTCCGTTTCTCTAACCCTTTCATTTCATTTCATCTAAATGGTTCATTAAATTCACTATGGTTTTTTTTTGTTGTTGTCAAAGGTAAAAGGGTTATCATTGTTCAGGTTATTCCTTTGTTAATCCATATGTGATGTTTACTATTGGATAGACAATTTGGAATCAAGGTAACTTCAAATTCATTAAATAAGGAAATTCAAATCTTTTCAATCTTTCCGATTTCTAAAAGATTTGAAAATCAATGATCATAATTGGCTTTCACATTGAGAGAGATACACAAATTAAGGCTATTCACAAGTTTCTATCAGTTGAATCAACGTCTTAAAGAGGGGAGAGTAATACAACATGGATTGGATTAGAATGGTTAACTCACAGGAAACCACTAGAAATTAATCTAATTAGAAATTTTTACAATAAGATTGATTCACTGACGAAACATTCTGCATCTATTGTGAATGAGATATGAAACTCTAGATGGTTTGGTTGATATAAGCTAAAGGGTAATTAAGCTCAATAGGTAAGTATAGATGAGGGGTTCACTTTTCGCGTTTCAATGATAACAGATCAGCTTAATTGAGGTAAGATTGATTGAACAAAATAACTCTTGGGGCTAAGAAAATAGAGGAGCACATTTAACCATAGAAGCTGATGAATTTAATTTGTTAATTTACGGTCGGGTCTTTATGCTTCATCAACATTTTCGGTTTGTAAACCCTTGAAAGAAGCAACGTTTACATAAGTTACCAAAGTGTACAACTTATTGGGACTATCTTCATCTTCATTACGTTTTCTTGATAGCCTGACTCTCACACGGAAAGGTACATTTCGAATTCCTTTGGACCAGAGGTATTTATTCAGTCGGGTATCAATTCTAACATCTGAGGTTCCCATTTGTTTGAAAGCGAATTTTCTAATTTCTTTGATCGCTTTAGGAGCACGTTTCTTGAAACCAGCACCATGGATTCTCTTGTGAATGTTGATTGTGTATTCACGTTGGATAACATCATTGATGGCGGATTTAGCTGGTCTATCTTTACCTTTCTTCACCATTCTGTAAATAGTAAAGGGAGAAAATACAAGAAAACAAAAATACAAAAGTAATTGATTAATAACTTGAACAAATTTCACAATAGAGTTGGTCACTTACTTGTTAATTAACAGTTAACAGTTGGTTTAATTGTAAATTTAATTAATTTAACACAAAAAAATTAATAAAAAACAAGACAAATTTCAGTTCCAAACCAAATTTCAAGACTTAAACATTTTCCGTTTCCGTTGATGTTAAGAGAAAAGTTCGAGGCTCCACCTGTTGGTGGCGGTTTTTTCAAAAGAGAAATCAGCTGATTGATGAATTGAATTTATCAAATTCAATCGAAACTTTGAATTTCAAAGATACAGAATAAGTTTATGTTTAAGAAAGATTTAATTCTTTCGATTGATCAATGATCATCTTCAATTATTCGAGATTTGGTTTTTATCAACAATTTTCTTTGTAATTTCGTAAATTATCACAAAACAAATAACAATTAATAACAATGAAATGAAATAGATTTTTCAATAAATATTTTGATCGATCTGATAAAAAATTACAAATTAATGTACATCGAGTAATTAATTATCTTAATTGTTGGTGAAAAATCTTCCTCAGCTTTAGTTACAATTGAAGAATGACAATTTTATTTCGATCACTGAATTGACTCATTAAAAGCCAATTCGGCGGCTTTTTCGATAATCTGTAAATCGAATCCAATCATTTCTTTCGTGATTTCAATCTTTTTCATGGCCTCAGCTAAAGATCTAAATGTTTCCTCTCTAACATTTTGTATCCAAACACAATAATCGGTTATGTATAAATCGTTGAAAATATATTGTAAATCTCCCGATTCATTGAGAATCCGATGGACATCAAGAAGACACTTGATTATAAATGATCGACCTTTAGTGAGTATTTGATAGACATCATTAATGACTTTTAAAGATAAATTCCAATTACGGTATAATGGGTGAACCAAAGATCTTTGGACGCAAGTGACCAGAGTTTCAGGGAGAGTTGAATGAATCTGTAACCAAGATAAAGTCGCGGATAATTTGATGATTGTCCATCCAGATTCGCAGGTATGTTCACCTTCAGTTGTTCTCATATCGTAAGAATAAGCGAATAGAATATCAATTAGTCCAAGAAGAAGTTGGAACTTTTCTTTCTTTGATAAAAGATATTCTCTTTTTGGTAAATTTTTCATTCTGAAAATTTGTTCATCGTTAAAATTACAAGAATCACAATCAGTGGTTTTTTCCCAGTCAAGCTTGAAACTAATCAAATCTTTTATCGTGTCTTTTTGCTCGTACAAATCGAACCAGTAATGATCTTCGTCAAACATTTCTTTGTCCTTTTGAAGCCTCAATTCTTTGCGTTCACAATTATCTGTAGTCTCAGGTTGTTTTAATTCCAATAAATCACCGATTTCATCAAGAAAACGACTCAAAATTCCAGAATAACGATTAGCGAATCCATACTTTTCCCCCATAAGAGATTTCTGCTCATCTTCAGTCCATTCACTTTGATCAATATACCAATCATAATCTTCTTGATCCTCAGTCACCTCTTGATCCAACACTTCAATTCCCGAGTTTAATTTGATGTTTTTCTGATGATTTGGTTTGGTCAACAATTTAGTTAACATATTAAGATCATTAAAATGTTCACCTTCAGTTGCCTTCAACAAACTAATAACAAACTCATTCTTTTCACCATCCCAATCAATTTTTTCCGAACCATCTTGAGTTGCTAATTTACCAGGTAAATGTAACCTATTGATAGAAACAATAAAAAAGGAATAATCAAAAAATTGTTGACAATCAATCAAATCTACAAATATATTAACTCACCTCAGATAATAAGGTTTACTATGAAAACAAAACATTTCGTCATCAAAAGCAACTGATGTCTCACCAATTTTTGCCATCGGCGCTTTGATCAACAGGTGGATGTACCTTGGATCTTGATTAATCTTGAAATTAGGAGTGATCATCTCGATTCAGTTAAATCAACGAATTTAAATCAACAATCAAATTCACTTTGAAACACGTGAGACTTTGTTTACTTTTAGTGAGAATAACAAATCGCTGTGAAAATAACTTTTGCTTTGTTTTGGTTGATTGTTGATCTTCAACAAGTGGCACATTGTTTTGATTTGTTTGTTTGTTTCTCGTTTTTCAAGGCCAACAATTAATTTTTTCTTACTCATTGTTGATTTATTTTTATTGTTACGACACTTTTTTTTAGAAGATCAACAAAATGTTGAGAGAAAACATTTTACGACCAATCATGGGTCGAAGTATCAACAAACTAAATACTTTTTCGTCTTTTGGTCAAGTTGATATTGTCGCCGGTGCAGTGGTCAATAATTTAACGCATTTCAATTCATTTCAACCCTTTTCTAATCGTATTTGCTCAATCAGGTGGATTCCTCGTCGTCCCAATAGTCTATTAGTTGGTGGTAAACATGGGGAATTGTGTTTCGTTTCGGATGTCAACAAGTACACGATCTCGGGAAATGAAGAGGAAAATGTCGATATGATTTCGCCGGGAATCGGAGCGGGTGGTGAAATTAGAGAAATTGTTCCAGATCAGATTGAAAATTCTAAATTTTATTCACTGAATGTTTCTGGGGAACTTGTTAAAGTCGATTTGACCACTCGGGATATTAATGTGATTCAACCACAAGGTGATTTCCATGTTTGGTTCGGAGGTTGTAATGTGAACTTTGACAAACAAGCGATCTTCTTGGGAGATAATAAAGGAAAACTTCATATTCTACCTGATTCATCTCGTGGTGGTAATTCTGATCGGACCGAAGTCAAAGTAGCCAAAACTGGTAAAATAAATCACATCGAATTTCACCCAAGAGACTCTAATTTCATGGCGATTTCATCAACAAGTGATTGTTCAGTAAAGTTATGGGACATCCGAAAGCTTAAAGATCTGGAAAATATTGAAGTTCTGTTGCATGATAAAGGAGTTAGTTCTTGTTACTTCAATAGTAACGGATCAAAAATCGTAACCACCGACCAAGGGAATGAGTTGAAAGTTTTCTCGTCCGGTGATTGGTCAGAAATCGCTTCTATCAATCACCCACATCGTCACTTTCAATACATCACTCCAATTCGGGCTGAATGGCATCCACTTGCCGATCTAATCGTCGTTGGAAGGTATCCCAATCAGAGAGATAAAAATCAAAGAAAAACGGTCGACTTTTTCGATGGCCGTGACGGATCTCCAGTCCAATCGTTGGATATTCCAAGCCAGAAAATCAGCTCACTGAATCGTTTCAATTGCATGGGTGATATTTTAGCCACCATGTTCCAAACCGATATCATCATTTGGAAACAAAATTATCCAGAGTCCAAATCTTCGGCCAAAACCTCAAACCAAACCTTAAAAGAGGAAGTTCCGACATGGACAGTGATGATGACGATGAAGATGATGATGATCTCAAGAAGAAAAAAGTTAAAGGAAAGGCCAAAAAGGCTCAAGCTAAACCGAAACTGCCACCAAAAAATACAAAGAAAAAGCGTTAATCAGTTTTAAAACCACTCGATTGTGGTTAAAGTGATAAATCAACGATCTCAATTCAAATTCCAATTTTTACTCATTTGTGTTTATTTTTTTACCGAACCCGAAAAGGTTAATAACAATTCACTTTAATTATTTTATTAAATTTTTCTTGAAAATTGAATAAGTTTCATTTTTCTTTCGGTTGAGAAAAGTGATAATTGAACATTGATTTATATCAATCAATTGTGGTGATAATTTTTTGAATGTTGGCGATTAATTAAAATCTGATAATATATCAAGGTGTAAATGGCAAATATACAAAATTTAATTGTTTGGATTGAAAGTTTGCTGATTGTGTGGATAAGGTGTTAGATTTGTTAATTTGATCAACTAATTTGGTCTTAATCATTTTGAATCAACATGGTAAAAAAATATCGGTTACTTTGAGGAAATTAATTTTCTGGAATCAAAATTTGATCAACAATCAACTGATCATATTAACTGTTAACAACAATAAATTCATTGTTAAACCATTTTCATTTTTCATATCATTTGAATCAAAGTTAAAAAGTTTCCATTTTGAAATAGTGAAATTTAGAAGATCATTAGATGTTCATATTTAGATTGAGTTCGAATCTTGATAAATTGAATTAGAAAAACAATTGAGAGCTATTGTAAATCAAAGGCCATCTAGAGTTTATATTTTACTTCAGGTCACTTTTCTATCCCAATTTGTCTGAAACTGACGCAAGTGGTAAAATTTTCTAGTTGAAAAAGTTTTTCTTAAGTTTATTCATTTCCTTTAAACCTCAGTTCTTTTTCTCGTCTCTTCGTTTTTTTTTCATTCATTCTTGAGCTTTTTCGTGCCAATGGATTTAATTACCTTGCCTTGTTTCGCAGACCCCAACGATAAATTGTAATCGAAAACAAGTTAAATGTCATTTGAGACAATCAAAAAGAAAGAATAACACTCGACTAAAATGAGATTGAATTTCCAATAAAAAATGATCAATAATTTGATTTCGAGTAAGTTACTTTCTCTCATTCGTTGTTTATAATTTGATTTTCATCACTTTTTTATAATCTTGCGACATCATTACAAAAATTTGCTCTCTCCCAAGAGTTTAATGATTACTAATCTTTTTTTGTCTCTTTAGGATTGGTCGATATACAGGGCAATTCAGCTACTTTGTTGGTTTTCTTTTCACGATTACTCAAAAACTACTTGACCGATAGGTTCCATATTTCGTCTATGGAAGTTTGACAGATACTCAATTGTCATATTTCAAGGTCAAGGTCATAAAGGTTATTCATGATAGAACGCACTTGAAGGTTATTTGAAGAACTTTTTGAAAACTAGAAATTTTTTCAAGCCTAGTCATGAAGTCAAAAAATTATGATATCACAAAGCAACGTTGGTATCGCGCTAAAACAAAATCAGTTACTTTAGATAACTTTTTACAGAAAGCAAATTGAATTAGACCCTGTAAGCACAGAAATGATAAAACATCACAGGTAGGCTTGAAAAAATTTCTAGTTTCCAAAAAGTTCTTCAAATGACCTTCAAGTGCGTTCTATCATGAATAACCTTTATGACCTTGTTGAGTTTTTGTTCAATTATTTCAAACATCCTGAAAACGAAGCTCGATGCCATAGTGAATTAATGGAAGTGTTTAAAGATCAAAAAGTGAATTAATCACAAAAACAAATATGAGATTTCTTATCCCAGGTTAAAGTGATCTTGAATCTTTTCGTGTATGATAAGCGTGCGAGAAAACTGGTCCACTAGATGAGTTTTTCTTTAACGTTACAGCTTTAAAACCTTTAAAAAGTGACAAATCAACTCAACGATCTCAATTCCAATTCGTTTTTCACTCAATTTGTGTTAAATTTTTTTACCGAACCCGAAAAGGTTAATAACAATTCACTTTAATTATTTTATTAAATTTTTCATGGAAATTGAATAAGTTTCATTTTTCTTTCGGTTGAGAAAAGTGATAATTGAACATTGATTTATATCAATCAATTGTGGTGATAATTTTTTGAATGTTGGCGATTAATTAAAATGTGATAATATATCAAGGTGTAAATGGCAAATATTAAAATTTAATTGTTTCTTAGAGTTTGCTGAATTTGTCTAAGTGAAGTTGATTAAGTGAAATGACTACTGTATTAATATATTACAATAATCAGTTGAATATTGTAAATCGGCCATTTCGAGTTTCATTTTACCGCTTCAGGTCCTTTTCTGCCCTTTTTCGGAAACGGACACAAGTGGTAAAATTTTCTAGTTGAAAAATTTTCTTAAGTTTATTCATTTCCGTTCAACCTTTTCCAACCACAGTTCTTTTCTTTTCGTTTTTTTTTGCCATTAATTCTTGAGCTTTTCGTGCAATGGATTTAATTAAAACACTTGAAGTAACATCTATTGGTACCGCAAATAAAGTCCAATTCGAGCTTATTAAAGCTTTTGTCGCAGATGAAAAAGTGATTTAACTTCTCTAACAAAGTTATCAACACATCAAAGATGAGGATCAAGAGGAATTCACTGAGGAATACGTTAGAATCTTGGTTTTGCTATCTTAACCTGGATTATAAACAAAAGCTAAAAATCTTCATTCCAGATCCTGAGAACGAAGGTTATTTTATTCTCTCTCCTGAACATATTGAAAATTCCCGAAAGATAGATGAGGAAGAAATCAGAGAGAGAACCGCTCAGATAGATCCTAATGACCCTAACGCGGACTTAAAGACCTTTGCCATAGCAATGGGAACAGGATCCAAAAAACCCGAAAACTACGAAAGATTCAAGGACCGCATTACAGCGATGGCATTTGGACCTACACTAATGATCGGAGGATAATAGAGACTTTGTTTCGAGGAACAACGATAAATTGTAATGAAAACAAGTTAAATGTCATTTGAGACAATCAACAAGAAGAATAATACTCGATAAAATGAGGTTGAATTTCAATAAAAATGATCAATAATTGATCATCGATTTAAAAAATTACCTAATTTATTACTTTAATTTTTATAAATTTATTTACGTTCGTCAATTATTATAAACAATTTATTAACTTTAAATTGTTTCGATTCGAAAGAGACATCTAAGTTAAATAGCTAAACTAATTTCGAGCGCATTTTGATAAATTGAATTGAAAAGAAAAACAATTGACCAATTGTAAAATTAAAAATTAATGGTTAATTGATTAATCAGTTTGCTCGTTTTGTTGACATTTCTTTTCCATTAGTTAATTAGTCATTATTGTTTTACCATTTCTTCCTTGATTCTCGGATAATCTCAGTTATGATGTTTACATTTCTCTAAATTTTCAATGTTGATCAAAAATTGGATAATTTGTAAGTGTAATTAAGCCATTTAATGTTAATGTTTACCAGCTTTTTCTAACTAATTAGGTTTTTTTTTATTGTTTTTCAGTGATTTATTGATTATTTAAGCGACTCCATGGATCCAAACAATGGCCTATTAGAGTTAACCAGTTACGACCTGTTGATTGAGATGCTAAGAAAAGCCTCAGATGAAAGTAAATCCAAAGTTAATTCAAGCAGAAAATCATTTTCTATTTGGGAATTGAGAAATTACCGTAAATTAGTGTCATTCATTTTTGATTTAATTTCTTTTCTTAAAATTGAAGATCCTTTTGTGAGATACAATACCTGTGATTTGTACGAGGAATTCCTGGAACATCATATTGACAATTTAAAATGTGATCTTTCTCGAGATGAGATGATGAACTATCACTTTGGTTTCATATTAAAGATCAGTCCTTTGCTTCGTCTTTTGACCTGCATCATGTTATCGTGTAAAGTGAGTTCAAGCCTTTCGATCAAGTTTGGAGAATATTGTTCACTAATTAGGAAGTTTGGTCAAGACTATTCAAAGCGACAATAGTTAAATCAGAGTTACGAGTGTAGAAACAGTAAACTAAAATTGACAGTGTCCACTAAACTCAATCTGTCCATTGTTGATATTAACTCTTGTTCGAATAATCAGTTGCGCGATTGTCGCTGTCACGCCGATGTTAGTGGATGAACAATCAGGACCAAAGGTAAATCTAATTTCTAACTAATGTTGATCACTTGTTGATTAATCATTTCTTTGTATTTTCTTGTCACTTTTCAGATTCTCGAGGTTGGTTTACATCACTTGTTATGATTATAAAGATATCGAGATAATCAGAGATGTTATTCTGGCAGGAATTCTGGATGAAGAAAAAGATCGGATTGATTGACCGAAAAACTAATTTTCTATTTTTATATTTCTTTTGACACAAAACCTTCAAATGAATATGATTTTTTTCTTATTTTGAAAAGAAGATTCTATTAAATGACAAATGTTTATTCACACTAATTGTTGATCGACATTTTGACAATTCTTGGATTGATGGCACAATAGGAAAGAGAGAGATAGAGAGAGAGCTTGACATACCTCGAACTTTTTTTAATCACGATTAAACAAATTGAATTGGATATTCAAGCCAGAAAATCAGCTCACTGAATCATTTCAATTGCATGGGTGATATTTTGTACCATGTTCCAAACCGATATCATCATTTGGAAACAAAATTATCCAGAGTCAAAATCTTCGGCCAAGAACCTCAAACCAAACCATAAAAGAGGAAGTTCCGATATGGACAGTGATGATGACGATGAAGAAGATGAAGATGATCTCAAGAAGATAAAAGTTAAAGGAAAGGCCAAAAAGGCTCAAGCTAAACCGAAACTGCCACCAAAAAATACAAAGAAAAAGCGTTAATCAGCTTTAAAACCACTTGATTGTGGTTCGTGTGATAAATCAACTCAACGATCTCAATTCCAATTCCAATTTTTACTCAATTTGTGTTTATTTTTTTACCAAACCCGAAAAGGTTAATAAAAATTCACTTTAATTATTTTATTTTAAATTTTTCATGGAAATTGAATAAGTTTCATTTTTCTTTCGGTTGAGAAAAGTGATTATGATTCTCTAACAAAGTGTCTCAACACATCCAAAGATGAGGATCAAGAGGAATACACTGAGGAAAGAGTTAGAGGAATGGTTTCTGCTCATCGTGGCGTATTGGATTATAAACAAAGAGCTAAAAGAATCTTCATTCCAGATCCTGAGAACGAAGGTTATTATATTCTCTCTCCTGAACATATTGAAAATTCCCAAAAGATAGATGAGGAAGAACTCAGAGAGAGAACCGCTCAGCTAGATCCTAATGACCCTGACGCGGACTTAAAGACCTTTGCCATAGCAATGGGAACAGGATCCAAAAAACCCGAAAACTACGAAAGATTCAAGGACCGCATTACAGCGATGGCATTTGGACCTACACTAATGAAATCCGGAGGGGGACTAATTGGAGCCTTGTTTCGAGGACCACAACGATAAATTGTAATCGAAAACAAGTTAGATGTCATTTGAGACAATCAACGAGAAAGAATAACACTCGATTGTGGTTCAAGTGATAAATCAACTCAATGATCTCAATTCGAATTCGAATTCCAATTTTTACTCAATTTGTGTTATTTTTTTACCGAACCCTTTAAGGTTAATAACAGTTCACTTTAATTATTTTATTAAATTTTTCATTGAAATTGAAGTTTCATTTTTCTTTCGGTTGAGAAAAGTGATAATTGAACATTGATTTACATCAATCAATTGTGGTGATAATTTTTTGAATGTTGGCGATTAATTAAAATGTGATAATATATCAAGGTGTAAATGGCAAATATACAAAATTTAATTGTTGGGATTGAGAGTTTGCTGATTGTGTGGATAAGGTGTTAGATTTGTTAATTTGATTAAGTGAATGAGTTTTAATTGTTGTACATTTGGAATTAGAAATGAAAAAAATTTCCTAGTTGACATCTTTTTACGATTGATGATAATCGGTGGCAAAATTTTAAATTGTTTCATTTTAAACAATTAACTGGAAATTAACCCCAGACAGATGGACGTACCATACTGGCTGCTGATCTCCAGCCAGTCGAACTTGACTCTCCGCCGCTGCTTCCACCCCATCCAGATGAAGACATCATCTTAGTCATCATTGGAACAGGAATGGGAACATATTGTACTTGACCCATTGATGATCCACCACAGCCACAACCCCCTCCACCTCCACTACTCATTCCCCAACCACCTTGCATCCCACCAGATGAGCATCCACCACCACAACCACCGCTACTCATTCCCCAGCCTCCACCACCACCACCACCTCCACTTTGCATACCCCATCCGCCACCACCTCCTCCTCCTCCTCCCCAACCTCCACCACCACCACCCCAACCACCGCCACTACTTCCTCCTTTACCACCGCCTCCACCACCACCGATGATAATTATCGTTGGACCTCCGCCGCCTTTACCTTTACCTTTACTTTTTTTCTTTTCTTTTTCCTTTTTATCTCCTTCATCATCACCTCCATCAATTACCATCATCGGCATCCCTAAAGAAAATTAATCAAACAATTAAGCGATTGACATTAACAATTGAAAGGAATATTACTAACCTCCTCCTCCACCATCCATAGACCATCCACCACCACCACCGCCTCCCCATCCAGATCCACCACCTCCACTCATACCTCCTAATCATGAACAAGAGACCAAGAAAATAATCAGATCAACTCACAATTTAAGATTAAATTAAAACTCTTACCCGCTCCAATGATGATTATATCCCCACCACCGCCTCCTTTTTCACCTAAATCACAAAGAAACAAAATGAACAATTAATTCAGAGGCTTAACCAAATCATTGATGCTAATTGTAATCACTAAAATCAAACAATCAGCTTAGTAAATCACAATATGATTAATCACCTTTAGCTTTATATCCAATGGGCTTTGTGATGATAACAATTAAACCGATCCAAATTAAATTCATATTTGGAAACAATTTATGGAAAAGTTGAACAAAAATTTGAAAATCAATCACCAATTAAATCAATTAAATCAGCAAATAATTCCAATTGAATAAACTAATTCGGTCTTAATCATTTTGAACAATCAACATGGTAAAAAAAATATCGGTAACTTTGAGTAAATTAATTTTTCTGAAATCAAAATTTGATCAACAATCAAATGAAATTACAACAGTAATAAGGGAATGAAGGCATTCTAATTACAATTAGTGATTAACTGATCATATTAAATGTTCACAACAATAAATTCATTGTTAAACCCTTTTCATTGTTCATATCATTTGAATCAAAGTTAATCATGAACTCATAACTTAAACCCTAATTGAATTAACTTGAATAACTTGACTTAAATTTGTCTACAAATGAAAAATTATTATCAATTTGATTACAATAAGATAATTATTAAGGTGAAATGATAACAATGATCAACAACTTTGTAAATACATTCATTGATCCAATTATTAATAATTAACATTTAATTTTAATCATTTACTCAACTATATTACAATAATCAGTTCTTGACAATTTAGACAATCAGCAAACATCAACTTAATAAGGATAAAGCTTTGGTCAATTAACTTGATAAGAATTAAAAAATGAAGATGATTAAGTTGTAATTTCAATTACAACAATTAAATCATCTCAGCAACCGTTTTCATTAAAATTCTTAATGACAAGTTAATCAGCTAATCCAAAGTTTAATATAAGATCTTGTGGATTATCTTCCAGATAGAATTTAATTGTTCCAAATCAATAATGATTAACTTGTTAGTAATTTTTTTCCATTATGAAATAGTGAAATTTAGATGTTCATATTTAGATTGATTTCGAATTTTAATAAATTGAATTAGAGAAACAATTGAGAGCTATTGTAAATCAAAGGCCATTTCGAGTTTCAATTTCACCGCTTCAGGTCACTTTTCTGTCCCACTTTGTCGGAAACGGACACAAGTGGTAAAATTTTCTAGTTGAAAAAGTTTTTCTTAAGTTTATTCATTTCCGTTCAACCTTTTCAACCACAGTTCTTTTCTTTTCGTTTTTTTGCCATTAATTCTTGAGCTTTTTCGTGCCAATGGATTTAATTAAAACACTTGAAGTAACATCTATTGGTACCGCAAATAAAGTCCAATTCGAGCTTATTAAAGCTTTTGTCGCAGATGAAAAAAGTGATTATGATTCTCTAACAAAGTGTATCAACACATCCAAAGATGAGGATCAAGAGGAATTCACAGAGGAAAGAGTTAGAGGAATGGTTTCTGGCTATCTTACCGAATTGGATTATAAACAAAGAGCTAAAAGAATCTTCATTCCAGATCCTGAGAACGAAGGTTATTTTATTCTCTCTCCTGAACATATTGAAAATTCCCGAAAGATAGATGAGGAAGAAATCAGAGAGAACCGCTCAGATAGATCCTAATGACCCTTCCTTGCCCTTAAGGACCTTTGCCATAGCAATGGGAACAGGATCCAAAAAACCCGAAAACTACGAAAGATTCAAGGACCGCATTACAGCGATGGCATTTGGACCTGAACTAATGAAATCCGGAGGGGGATTAATGGGAGCCTTGTTTCGAGGACCACAACGATAAATTGTAATCGAAAACAAGTTAAATGTCATTTGAGACAATCAACAAGAAAGAATAACACTCGATTAAAATGAGGTTGAATTTCCAATAAAAAATGATCAATAATTGATCATCGATTTAAAAATTACCTAATTTATTACTTTAATTTTACTTAAATTTATTAGCGTTCGTCAATTATTATAAACAATTTATTAACTTTAAATTGTTTCGATTCGAAGAGAGAGAAAGAGACATCTAGAGTTAAATAGCTAAACTAATTTCGAAAGGCGCATTTTGATAAATTGAATTGAAAAAGAAAAACAATTGACCAATTGTAAAGATTAAAATTAATGAGTTTAATTGATTAATCAGTTTGCTCGCTTTGTTGACATTTCTTTTTCCATTAGTTAATTAGTCATTGTTATTGTTTTACCATTTCTTCCTTGATTCTCGGATAATCTCAGTTATGATGTTTACATTTCTCTAAATTTTCAATGTTGATCAAAAATTGGATAATTTGTAAGTGTAATTAAGCCATTTAATGTTAATGTTTACCAGCTTTTTCTAACTAATTAGGTTTTTTTTTATTGTTTTTCAGTGATTTATTGATTATTTAAGCGACTCCATGGATCCAAACAATGGCCTATTAGAGTTAACCAGTTACGACCTGTTGATTGAGATGCTAAGAAAAGCCTCAGATGAAAGTAAATCAAAGTTAATTCAAGCAGAAAATCATTTTCTATTTGGGAATTGAGAAATTACCGTAAATTAGTGTCATTCATTTTTGATTTAATTTCTTTTCTTAAAATTGAAGATCCTTTTGTGAGATACAATACCTGTGATTTGTACGAGGAATTCCTGGAACATCATATTGACAATTTAAAATGTGATCTTTCTCGAGATGAGATGACCAATGAACTATCGCTTTGGTTTCATATTAAAGATCAGTCGCTGCTTCGTCTTTTGACCTGCATCATGTTATCGTGTAAAGTGAGTTCAAGCCTTTCGATCAGGAGTTTGGAGGAATATTGTTCACTAATTAGGAAGTTTGGTCAAGACTATTCAAAGGCGACAATAGTTAAATCAGAGTTACGAGTGATGAAAACAGTAAACTACAAGATCGACCAGTGTCCACTCAACTCAATCTGTCCATTGTTGATATTAACACTTGTTCACAATGAGCCGTCAATTGATGGTCAATTACTTTACTCTTTCTTACATAAAACAATGGACTTTTATTATCTGACCAAAGCCGATATTTTGTCTAAATTATATGACCACCTTAAGGAATCAAGGAAATTTGATTACGAGTAAGTTACTTTCTCGCATTGATTGTTTATAATCTGATTGTTGATATTTGGTTTTGTTTTTTTTTCTCTTATAGACAATTTAAATGTTTTATTAGTGATCAAATGTTGATTAGTTGTGCGATTGTCGCTGTCACACCGATGTTAGTGGATGAACAATCAGGACCAAAGGTAAATCTAATTTCTAACTAATGTTGATCACTTGTTGATTAATCATTTCTTTGTATTTTCTTGTCACTTTTCAGATTCTCGAGGAATTGGTTTACATCACTTGTTATGATTATAAAGATATCGAGATAATCAGAGATGTTATTCTGGCAGGAATTCTGGATGAAGAAAAAAGATCGGATTGATTGACCGAAAAAACTAATTTTCTATTTTTTATATTTCTTTTGACACAAAATCTTCAAATGAATATGATTTTTTTACTTATTTTGAAAAATGAAGATTCTATTAAATGACAAATGTTTATTCACACTAATTGTTGATCGACATTTTTTGACAATTCTTGGATTTGATGGCACATTAGGAAAGAGAGAGAGAGAGAGAGAGAGAGAGAGAGAGCTTGACATACCTCGAACTTATTTTTAATCGCGATTAAACAAATTGAATTGGAATGATGGAGAAAAAATGATTGTTTAATTAGTCACATGATTGTTTTGATTGTTGACATTTTCCCATTGATCACCTGTTTCTAATTCACAGGTAATGTTGAAATTTGGAGTAATCATGTTTACTATTCCTTGAATTTCCAATCTTGCCGGCAAATTGGACACAATTGAACAACTTGAGGTGAATTGAGCCACTTCATGATACAATGAATATGGAAACAGTGTGAACATTGTCCCCAAACCAATGGACATTCATCACCGGGCATCTTACAGTCGGTGCAACAACCGTCGAAAGCATTACGACAAATGCCACAATTATCATCTTTGGCGATCCATTTCCAAACAGAAACTCCTCGCCAGCCTTAAGCACAGAAAAAGAAAACAATCAAATTTAATCAATAGAAAGATAGATAATGTTATAAGATAATTTGGATCATTACTTACTCTTAATGTTTACTTTCATCTTGGAATTTGGAAGAATATGAGAGAGAATGTTGAAGAAAAAGAAAAAGAGAAAATTATTGCAAAGAAAACCACTTTACTCAATCATAACAATCGATCAGCTGATTAGTGAAGGAAAAGTTGAGATCGAATTTGCTATTTAAATCTAACATTACTAATTAGTTATTTATTTTTGCTTTTTCTCTCTTTTTGCTCAAATGAATCATTTGTTTTTTTAATTGTGATCATTAATCAACAATTAACAAACAATCAACAGAATAATCAACAATTAAGGTAACCATTGGTTACACAATTTAGCTCATTGTTTACCCTTTTTCGTAATCTTATTTTTTGATTTTTTTTTCTCTCTTTTTGGTTGGTTGATTAGATTTCGGTTGACAATTTATCAAGCAATGGATTCAAATGATGAGCTGTTAGATTTTTCATTTGTTCGACGTTCCTTTGGCAATTCCGTCAAATCATCTCAATCATCAGTGTCATCTCCATCTCCATCTCCATCATCGTCATCAACCTCATCTTCATCTTCACCTAAACCTTACAGTCTTTCAGCATTGAAAATGTTTTTTGTCAACAATTATCACTCAATAGCCTCTCATGGAATCGATTTGGCAGCCGGTGGTTTTTACGACAAAGCCATAGAATACCTGAATTTGGCCATCACTCTCAACTCGTCGGATTATCGACTCTTTTACAATCGTGCTTATTGTTATCTGGAAATCAACGAGCCTCAAAAGGCTCTCGAAGACATCGTAATCACTTTAAGGGGTAATCCATTATGGGCCAAAGGTAAGCTGTTTTCGTTATGCCCTTGGGCTATTTGTGATCTTTGTTTGATGATCGTCATCATCTCAATCAAAAAAAATATCAAAAATAAACTGTTTAGTATCTTAATCAGTTTAGCCGATCCCCCCAGTGGATATAAAATTTGAAGTGCCTCTGTTGACTGATCCATTTTCAGTTTTCACTTTCATCTTAAAAGATTGATATTGTTTTCTCATCTTTCTCTCTCATCTTTCATCAACAATTTGTAACTCGGTGATTCTAATTGTCAACTTTTTCTCCCTGTGTGATCATGTTAGGCTACTTCAAACTTGGTCAATCTTTGGCTCGAATGAAGCAGTTCAAACAGGCCGAAATGGCCTACAAAAAGCTCTCAACATGGACAACGATTGTGAAAAAGAGACTCGAGATGAAGTGGTCGGTAATATTTACGATGCTTTGATCCATTATGGATACGACGAAATCAAAGCGGGTTTCGCAGCATCGAGGTACTTTTCAATCACCGAAGCTCGTGATGCCTTGGAGGCAGGAGCATTCGAAGATTCTTTGGCCATGACTCGAAGTATCAAAAGAAAACAATACAAAAAGAAACAACACAAAAAGGATCCTTATGCCAGTTAATTTTCTTTAATCATCACAATCACCACATTGATCATCAAGTTAATCTCAAAAATCATCCTAATCCACCATCAATTTATCATATACCATGTAATCAATTTTCTTTACTCGAATTCTGTAAACCTCTTGACCTTCACCATGACCATGACCATGATCCATGACCTTGTTATTAATAAACTGACCAAATAAATGAATTAAAATAAAACTTTTATCAACAGTTAAACCACTTGCAGTCAACAATCATTTCGGTTTATCATAGCAAGCAATTAGCAAGAATCAACAAGTGAATTAGATTATAGTGAATCATTGACCCTCAATCACCTTGGATTAATTAGCAATCAATTTCTCTCTCAGTAGATAATTAAATAATCAAATTCATCAAAATTTGCGCGAATTTGTTGTCAATTGTCTTTTATGCACTCAAATGATTTAATCAAAATGCTCGTGGACAATTTTTGGTTTGTTTAATTTTCATATCTCAACCAATGAGAATTGTTAATCACTTTGTCCCTCCAATTGTAATCTAATCTACAATTGATTAATCATCTTCTTTGTTTTTCTTCTCAATCATCACCTCTATTATCAATTGGTGAGTGTGTCGTTGATCCTCAAATCATCAATTAAGAGCGTGCAACAAGTTGACAATTAGTCTTCCATTGATTGTAGAAATTAAAACCTAATGTGATCATTTCCATTTCTCATCTTGTTTTAATTTTACCTCATCTTTTGTTTATTTTCCTGTTCTCAAGTGTCAACCGACATTCGTGATGTTTCAACAATCAACGCTCGAGAAAACCTTTGATAGTTCACGATTTAGTAATCATGGTAGTTTAACGAGATACGGAGGTGGATCAACTTACGCTTACAATAGTGGATCTACTCGAATACGATTAAGTCGAGATTCAAGTTCATTCATTCACGAAAGTTACAATTCAAGCCTCGATTTTCCTGCTTACATCCCATGGCAAACACTTTCCAGCGACGTTTCCGATAAACTGAAAACTGGATCAATCAAAATAAACAAATGGTAAACACGATGATCACCAAGACTAATGATTCAATAGAATCTCATCAATTTTAATTGTTGTTGTGTTTAATTTTCCACCAGTAATTGTGTCGAATGGACAACAATCAAGGAAGAAAATGAACGACTACCTTTGCTGGAGAGAAAAAGTTCCAACCACGAAAATGGATTACGAGATCTCGGAGTTTCCGAAGCAGTGGCTGGTGGTGAGTTAATTAAATTCTGTTGATTGTTTGTTACCTCATTTTCCTAAACTGTCGATTAGCTAAACAGAAGATGAAAATAGAATTTACTGTTAACCCTTTTCGTCATTTTCTCTCTCTCCCTCTCCTTTTAACTTGTGTGACTTTTTGTTGATCTCTTTGTTTAATCCTAATCCTCTGTGTCTCTAATCATCAAATACTCTCATCACTTTTGGATTAACAATGCAAATGAAAAAAGGCATTTCCTGGCCCGTTGCTGCCTTTCTGTTGGTTAATTGTGCTCTTGGTGCTGGTGTTTTGAACTACCCAGCAGCTTATGATCGACTCGGTGGTGTCACAATCGCAACTGCAATTCAAATTGTAAGTAAATCACATTTTCATCTTCTGATTGTCAACCATTAATCTCTTGTGGTCTTTTTGTTTTCCTCATTCTCCTCGTTTAGTTTATGATGGCAATTCTTGCATCTACAATGATTATCTTGGTCTACGCTTCGGACATAAACAAAGATGACACTTATCACGATGTCCTTTTATCTCTGTGTGGGAAAAAAGCTCAACAATTATCGGCCATTTCGATTCTTTTAACATGTTATGGTGTTTGTGTTACATTTCTAATCATAATCGGTGATCAATATGATCGAGGTTTGTTGTCATCGCTCAATCAACAAGTGTAACTTTTGGTTTGATGAACATTTTGTTTTTCCTTCCAGTTTTCGCTTCGCATCTCACTGAGTGCGTTTGGTACATTGATCGACGATTCACCATTTCAGTGACCACGATTTTCCTCATTTTACCGATGTGTTACTTTCGACGACTTGATTTTCTTAGATATGCTGGGTAAGTAATCCAACAAGTGGTTGGTCATTTTCATCACGTTTTCTAATCGAAAAATTTTTCTTTTCCAAAATTTCTGTTCTCCAGGACATTAGGTGTATTCGCTATGTTATATGTGGTCTTCTTAAATGTATATGAATACTTTAAATTAGATATTCCAAATCCACCGATCAGAACCAAGTAAGAAATTTAAATATCTGGATGTCGATTTTGTTTCATCTCAATCTCACCTTTTCTCAGGCCAAGTTCACTCACCTCAATGGTTGCTGTTTTTCCCGTTATCTGTTTCGCCTACCAGGTAAGTTAAATCATCTGACGAACTAATCAACTTATTATCAATCAACCAGTTAATCTTGTGATTTTCTCGTTCTAGTCACATGAAATCACCGTTCCAGTTTATGCCTGTATGGCTAAGAGAAACATCACCAATTTCACCAAAGCGACCATCTTGTCTTTGGCCATTCTCTTTTTACTTTGTTCGGCAGCGGGTACAACAGGTTATCTCACCTTTGGGAGCAATGTGACACCCGACATTATGGCTTTGTACAGTGCTAAAGATCCCGTGGTTATGATCGGAATTTTAGCTTTGGTGGTTAAAATGGTGACCACTTATCCGTCGATGATTTTGTGCGGCAGGTTGGATAAGATTTCATCTCGATTTTTTTCAGTTCGATAATCTAATCTGTTATTTTTTTCGATCTTCTTATTTTCAGAGGAGCTTTAGATGGTCTTTATGCTGAATTTTTCCAATTATCTGCTGCCGAATTCATGAAAGGGGAGAAACGACGGAGGATCATCATCACAACGATTTGGTGCATTTCGTCCCTTTTTGCGGCGATTCTGACACCGAACATTGGAATCTTGATCCAACTTCTTGGATCTTTGGCTTCAGCGAATGTTTTTATTTTCCCATCGCTTTGTCTTCTTGCGATCGCTCGCAGGAGAAAGATCGATTCTCGAAAAGAACACGAATATTTTTCATCCTTTTTTCCATCATTCTCATCATCACAGGTTTTATCATGTTCCTTCTTGTTTTATATCAAGTTTACGACGATTTGAAAACTGAATCAATTCCTCATGAAGTTTTATGTAAATGGTGATCAAAGATCATCATCTTCCTCTCTCATTCATCCCAATCAATTCCGATTCCAAATTTTTTCATTCTCATTTTTTTATTTGTAAAATTTTCATCGATTTTTTGATTCACTAAAGTCACAATTTTAATCGCTAATAAACAGATTTATTGCTCAGACCAAACATTTAGTTTCAATTAGATTTATTTTCTTAATAAACATGATCGATTTACAAAACTACCTGTTGATGACACTTAATTTTCTATCGTCTATTAATTGTCGGTGGGAAATATTCTTCCTCGGCTTCGGATGCTTTTAGTTCTTCTAATTTCTTTTGGGCTTCGGTATATTCCATTTCTATCTTGTTGAAGTTATCGAAAAAGTTCAATTTTCTTTCCTTTAGTTCCAATTCTTGCCTCAGGCTCTTGATTTCTTTGATTTTCTCTTCTCGCAAATACTTTTCCATTTGTTCCTTGATTGCGTTCGCTCTATCAATGGACCATTGACTAAATACAGATTTCATATCGGAACAATCTTTGGCCTCAAGTTCTGGTATGAGATTAAGTTCTTTCTTGACTAAACTGTGAATGTGCTCCCCTGACATCAATTTCTCATTACTTTTTAGTTTCTCAAGAAAAGATTTTGCTTCTTCATCAGTTTCGATCACTGGTTCGACTGAACTAGTTATTAATTCGAGAGCACCAGTTGCAATTTGTCCATCGGATGAATTTGAAGTAGCGAGTTTTTTTATTAACTCTTCAGCTAAATTCCACTTTTCCAAAATGCTAATCCAATCAACTGAGATGTTCTTCCAATTATTCCATCGTATTTCATTCCAATCATGTAGAGTGTTTTACCAGATAAAACAAGAGGATCTTTAATGTCAAAATGATCATCGAAATGAGCATTTCTGACATACGGAACTCGTACATATTGTACTTCGTCATCTTCATTAGATTTTTGGGTATCTTCTTGACTCTCTGAATTTTTATCAACAGCACACAAAGATTCCTTTTGCACGGGATCCATCAAACAGCCATAAACAGCATTCAGTGCGAGAATATTAGTTAATGGTGAATAATCTTCTTGTAACATATAAAGATTTGCGACTTTGGTTGCATTTGAGAAATCTGATTTCTCTAAAAAGTGATCAAGGATCATGTTGAAAGAAAAATTATCAGGAAAAACTCCATATTTCAATGGATTCTGTAAGATAGGAACCAACTTATCGGCAGAACCAGCTTGAAGAAATGCTCGACAAACGGCATGATGAGTGGAATCCAAGGTAAATGCCGTTCGTTTATTTTCCCGTAGTAAAGTTAAAAAGTAAACACATTCCTCCAAATTTTGATTACTAGTAACATTTGCGAAAATATCAACATCAATCGGTTCGATTGGTAACTTTATTTTAATTCTCTCTTTCATTTGAAAGAAAAATTCATCTGTAAAAATAAAAGAAGGAGACAAATAAGAATCACAATTAACCAAAAAGTAAATTAAAGAAAAATAAAATAAACAATTTACCTGCATTGACACCAGAAAACACTGGTTCTTGTAATCTTTTGTCCCATTCTTGTTGACAAAAATATTCAGATGAGAGGATTGTTCTAGAAAAGGATTGATTAGTTAATCCTCTTAATTGTAAACATGATCTTCGAAGCCCTAAAGCAAACATAGTAACCCGATTAATTAGCAAAATCAACTCGATCACCACATTTGTTTACCAAACATTAACTCAATTTTGTTTACTATAATGTAACCATGGCAACGGAAAAGACTAAAAGTAAATGAATCCAACAGATGTCGCTGAGGAAAGTAAATCATTTGAAAGCAAATTGAAATTGTTTTTTGTTGTAATTAGATTTTTAATAAACTTGGTGATCAATCACAATTTACAAAACTACTGACTAATTGTTTTACATTAGTGATGTCGCCAGTTCATCTATTAATTGTTGGTGGGAAATATTATTCTGCAAGATTTGCAAAAATATCGACAATCAATTGGTTCAACAGGTAGTTTCAATTTTGATTATTTCTTTTTTCATCTTCAAGTGTGAAAACTCATCTAAATTGTGGAAAGAAGAAAAGAAAACAAATTAATCAAAAACAAAGGATAAAATATCATCTCTATTGGTTTATAAACGAAAAAAAGATTTACAACAATTTACCTGCATTGACGCCTAAAAAATACTGGTTAAAGTAAAAATCAACTAAATTGTCTTTGGGTGAAAAGGTTGACAAGTAAATTTCCAATTCCAAGTTAATTGATTCTGAGAATACATTTTCTTTATTTTTTTTTTCTTCTTGATTTGATCTTGATTGGTGGTTATGGGCCAAAGTTTGTCCCTCGTTTTTCCCCTTCCCAAAAGAAAAACAACAAAAAAACATATCGGATGAGGACGAACGTGCAATCGATGAGCTACTTCAAATTTTTGGTTTGCTATCGACAACGAAATGAGCTTTTGATGAGTTGTTTTCTTTTCTCATAAATTATTGGTTCAGATGATAATAAGATGAACATTGATGATCGGAGGTGATGAAGATGATGATTAGAATGGTTATCATGATGAGTGATGTCGCTATATTGCATTTATAATACAAAGGTCTGTTTTATATATTACATCTTGGTGATGTCTTTGTATGTATTTATATAATTTTATGATTTGTTCGAATTGTTCTTTCGATAAATGAAATGAAATGTTCAATTTTGAGTATGTATCAATAAATTGGCTGGTTGATTAAGTGGTTGAGACCCTTGAGATGTCTAATAATTAAGATTCGTTATGATGGTGGAGCATCGGAGGTAAAACGATTTGGATTAAAATCAATATTGACAAATGAAAATCCTTTGAACTCTTCTTGGTTTATCGTTCTGAGGACTTCGATATTAACGGGAGTTAAAACGGGCTCTTCTTTGGTAAAATCTTGATCAAAATTGTTCACATCTCGTTTTGTTTTCTAAGTAAGGAAAAAAGAATAATAAACGAAAAGTGATTAGAAATTTTTTCAAGGTCAAAGTTTCGACTAATTTGACTTACGATTTTAGGTTTAAATGGTGGTTTCACTTTTCTCGCTTCCAATGCGATCCAATCGATTTCTTTGAAAAATGGATGAATAAGAATAGCGTTTTCTTCACCTTTACTAGCAACACATCCAAGTCTTTTCGACGGTTCTTTCGTCATAAACTGTTAATGAGAAGGAATATTGAGAACGAAATTAGTAATTAGTTGTTATTAATTGATGGAAATGTATTCTTACTCCTTTGAGAACTGAAACAGCTTCTTTGCTGAGCCAAACTGGATATAAAACCTCGTCTCGTAAAATCGAATCGAAAAGATCTTCTTCATTATCAGCTTCGAAAGGCGGTTGTCCGGCCATCATTTCGTACATTAACACACCAAGAGCCCACCAATCGACTGACGGACCATAATCAAGTTCTTGTAAAATCTCAGGTGCAATATAGTCCGGTGTCCCACAGAAAGTAGTTGTTGTTACATTTTCTCGAATACCCTCTTTGCACATACCAAAATCGGCAATTTTACAATGACCTTCACAGTCCAAAAGAATGTTATCAAGTTTCAAGTCCCTGTAAGAAGATGAAATAACCATGAAAATGATCAAAATTGCGAATCGACAACGAAAAAAACCATTGATTTACCTGTAAATAACTCCATGACTATGAAGAAACATAAGAGCCAAAGTAACTTCGGCTGCATAGAATCGAGCTCTTGCTTCATCAAATTTTCGGGCTCTTTGGATTTGAAACATAAGGTCACCTCCGTTAACATATTCCATAACAAAAAATAATCGATCCTATTACCGAAAAACCAAAACAACCAAACAAAATTAGCAAAGAATAATCATAAATCATAAATCATCAGAATTTACCTCAGTTTGGAAGCAAGAATGTAGGGCAGTAAGAAACGGGTGTTTCGCTGAAAGAGTAAGAATCCTTTTCTCTGTCATCGTACAATCGACATCATCATCTTGTAGAATAACATCTTTCTTCAGAACTTTGACCGCATAAACTTCTTCTGTATCTCTGAATTCAGCGAGCATCACCTAATAAAATCATTTCGATAGAAAAATCAAACGAAAGAAAAAAAAAGAATAAAAAAAAAGTTTTTCGACCATGAAACTTGTCAAGATGAACTTCAAATGAATTTACCTTTCCAAAGCTTCCCTTTCCCAGAACTTTGATGAACTTGAAATCATCTAGTCCATATTTCCTTGGACGCTTATCCTTTTCACCAAGTTCCATTATCGTCCTATCAATGATAGTCTGAAGATTTCTATCTCTTAGATTTCTACTACTATGATCTCTACTAGTGGACGGCATATCCTTGAATGATAAACGACCAACCATCATATCAGAAGATGATAAGTCACCTAATAAAAGACCTCGTTCTCCAAAATCAGCAGCACAAGGTAATGGTGATGTATTGGAACGCTCAGAGATTGTAGATTGGCCACATTTCGTTGAATCGCCAATGAATGGTTTCTTTTTCCTACGATTTAATTTATCTCCAGAAATTCCCATAGCACTCAGAGTTTCGGCTAATTGTTTGGGATTAATTCCGCAATTGTTGGCAACATTCTTGTGACATCTTTTGTGTACATTCATACTACATGCTAAACAATGATAATAGTGACAAATGAACACATTAATTAACATTAATTTGAGAATTAAGTTCAATCAATTTAAAAGTGAACACACAAAGTTACCTTCACATTGAAGACCTTGACGGAAGAATCCATATAACATTGAGCCACAATGATCACAGAAAGTTGGTCTCTTGTAATTGTGAACAACAAACCGATGAGGTACATTTATATTAAAACGACTTTCAGATGACTGTAAATAATAGTTGAACAATTAAATTAATAACAATTAGGAATAATAGTTGGTCTCAATTCAATTCTCTTTTCTATTTACCTCATCTGCACTTTTATCTTTGGAACCTGGACATTTAGTAACTACAAATTCGTGGCATCTTTTATGAACAACACAGGTACAAACTGATGAGCAGAGAAGAAGAAAAAAGTTAAATGATTAGTTAATTATCGATGGAAAAATATTAAATCAAAACAATCATTGTCACTCGAAGTGTAATCAAGTGTTTGATATTTGGACTAGAGAATTGGAATGATGTGAAAGTTGTGAATGGTCAAGTTTCGAGCAAGTGAAAATCGTAGACTGACCTTGACACTGGTAACCCTGTTTACCGATACCCCAGATGAATTCACGACAATGTGAACAAAATGTTGGCTGAGGATGAAAAGTGGCCATAAATTTATGTTCGTTAACTTGATGAACTCGACGTCGCATTGCACCTCGACGGCGATTGAATCCAGCGCGTTCTTTGAACTCTTTGGGCTTTTTATCGACTTTTCCATCTTTATTGGCATCAATAAGATCGATTGCAACATGGATTTTCCCTTCCGGTTCCAAATCAATCTAAATCATACACATAAAAGAATAATATAAATAATAATGATAACCAATAATTCAAATGATAATTCATCTCAATTCCAATCAATTCAATTTTCCTTTTCTCATATTATTCTTTAGTCTCTTGTTTTTTTTTCTTTTGCTCAATTTTTTCTCTTTTTTTCTGGTTAAATATAAGAAAATGTTTTGGCTTTTATATGTTTAATCAATATCATGTTTATCTAAATTGATTGTAAGACAATTAACGATTAAGACACGAGATAAGCTCCCTTGGTGATAAGAGATTATTGCTTAATGAAATAAAGATTAAGATATGAAAAGAAAACATTTATGAGAAATAAAAACATAAGTCGAATATTTAATTTCTGTGAATATTAAACTGATTCTGATTGATAACAATCCAAATTGTAATACATCATTAAGAGTGAAAGTGATTATTAATAGACTAAAGTAAACACAAAATCAACAATTTAAATGGTTGTGATTAGTTTTAAATGGTAAAAGTTGTTGATAGATTTGATTTGGATTCTCAACTGACCGAGATGATTTTAAAATGGATTCAAAATTTACAGTTACAATTTAAAGAAGGACAATTTATTTTATTAAGATTGACAATTGATTGAAGATGGAAAAATTGTCTAATTACAATCAACAAATGAACCAGCATTTTCTTTGATTATGTATTGATTAGCAATTGATTGACTTTGATTCAACAGGTTTTTGGACATAAACTTTTTTTCGTCGATTTCGAAGGTAAAACAATGTAATTAGATAGGAAATTGTCAAGATAATTATGATAAAGGTCAAAACAATTGAGATTATTATCCATTTTGATATTGAACAATCATGCAAGTGATAATAATTAGGGCATTTATCAGTTAACCAATTTTGCCTCATTCGAGTGAATAATCGTTTCTCTTTATCGTAATCGTCAGATGAACATTTAGATGTAAGACAATTAAGGTAATTAAGAAGAAAACAACAATAATTTTTCTCATTATTTTCCAGAGAAAACCAATTTTCACCAACTGAATTAAAACACTGATTAGCAGATGAATGAGCAAATGAGATACATGGATAATCTTTAGGATTACCTGGAGGAATATTGAAATCTAACTCATCATGAGTTGGAAGTTTATAATTATTATTGGTATCAATAGTTTCATGAGATAATTTCAATTGATTGAAATAAATTAGCACAGAAAACACAATCAATAAATTAGATAACATTTTGATTTGTTCGCCAAGGGAAAATCTTATTAAGCTGAAAACACTGAAAATATCACAATTATGAAAATTCAACAATAAGACTCTTGTTATTTTCAGTTTAAATTGTGATGATGATTAACTCTAATTCAATGGTACAGTTAAACTATTGTAAAAAAAAAGGTTTTGATAGTTATGGTAATAATTCAAGTGAAACCAAGCTAATTTAATCTATACAATTGGCTATTTATTAGCAATTAAATCAATCAGGAACCAAGCTTTTTAAAACCATAATCATGTTATTATCTGTACCGTTGGTAATTCATGAAAATTTACAGTTATTCAGGAAGAGACTGAGTAAATCGTAAGAGCTGTAAGATGATTAACTATTTATATTTACTATTTATCATATTCATGTCTAGGATATTATAACTGTACATATATTTAAATGAAGACATTTTCAGGAAGCTGTTCAAGTAAAAGCGCAACATTTATTATTTGTAATTGATGATGAAAGATGAAAACATTGAAAAGATTTCAAGTTAAATTGTAAGGTTACAATCAATCGAGTGATGTTTGTAATTTAATTGTGCCCAGTTATTAAATTTGTAATGAATGAAAGATTTTACATTTCGATGAACGAAATATATGAAAAGAGGAAGAGGAAGAAGAAGAAGAAGAAAATAAATAAACAAATACAATTTTCATCAGGTGAGTTGTGTGGGTTTCGAATGCAGGATTGGATTGGATTGAGGAGATTGAACATGGAAAAGATGAAAATAGACTAGGACATGATGAGGACGAAGGATGAGGATGATGATGAAGATGAGGACGAAGGATGAAGGAGCCAAGGTGTATGTCAACATCTAAATAGAACCCATTCTATCAGTGAATATCTGTAAGTCGAAAATGATTTTACCCAGATTTTATCGATCAGCTTACATCATCTGACCTACTTATTCCTCAAAAATAGGTCAAGTCTCGGGCCAAACCTTCCCAGGCTCAATGAATTTCTTTCCGCTAAAAACCCTTTCTCTTTCTTTCTATTCTCTCTCTCTCTATCTCTATCTCTCTTTCTCTTTCTCAGCATCACAAAAATTCATTTACCTTTTTTTTCCCTGAACAGAAACAAAAAAGAAGCAAATTAACAATCAGTAAATCCAAAGCTCTCGGAGATTAATGCAAAGGCAAAGAGATTCACCAAATACACCATATTAAAGATAATACGATCATCACTACAATTGATTAGATTTAATTTGATTCTTGTGGAGCAATTTTACCAGAAAATGAAAAGAGCAAAGAAAATGTTGTCTTTGTTTATTTTTTTTTTATGTTCTAAAATGCAAAGAGAAACAAATTGAAATCTACTTACCCAGAAATCATTTGTATCTTTATTCCTTCCATCATTAAGTATATCATCAATTATGATTGAACAATTAGCAACAAAATCATCTGGAGGAATAGCAGCATCATGAAAAACGGTTAACAACAAACTCTGAGCATTATGAACCTCTGTACAGAAATTTTCATTCCAAATTGGGTGAAAATTTTTCTGCTTAGTTGATGTACGATCAATATGAATATCATCAACATCAATTGAAACATAAGGATCCAATGATTTAGAAACAACATTTCCATGTCTGGTTGAATATTCGGTTGGCTTTAACTCGATCGCTTCAATTATGGTCAACTTGAGAGTACCCGTAAATCCTGGCATTGTCAATAAGATCACTAGCAAATTGATTGTAAAATAAATCAAAATATGGAAAATGATTGCAAAAAATGTTCAACATTTAAGGAAGATACAAACAACCAGCACTAACAAATAAACATACTGAGACTATCAGATAGACTCAGTATGTTATCATCATTTCGAGAAACTCTTGTATCGATATATCGATGTGGAGACTTGCCAAGCATCGAGATGAAGCAAATCAACAATGGATTTTGTTTCGTTGACGATAAATAACCGAATAATAAATTTGAAACGATTTTTTTTTCTTGTTCTACGAGTTGATTGTTATTAAGCGATACTATGATCACATGGCAGTATGTTACACGGGTTTTTGGTACAGTTTTTGAGGCTACTAAATACAAAGAAGTTTTTTTTTTATTTTATCTAAGCTGATTTTGAAGGAACTGTTTATCCGGAGGTATTTAAACTAAGGTATTGTCATGGCAGTAGATTGAGAGAGGAGGGGAATTAGCACTTATTAACACTGATTCATTTACTTTTTGAGGATGGCAGCAACTGGGGCTCCGAAAAGACCGGTGTGGATTGCTGGGGCAACAACCTTAGCGGCGAATGGAGAGTAAGCGTATGGGGCTGAGTAGGCGAATGGGGCTCCGTATCCGTAAGCGAGAGGAGCTGAGTAAGCTGGGGCCAAAACTTTAGCGGCTAAAGGTGCAGCGGCGATTGGGGCAGCGTATGAAGCGATTGGGGCGGCGAAAGCTGGGGCAGTGTGGACTGTATTGAGAAAGGGAGGGAAGAAAAAAAAAGTAAAAAATTAATCGAAAAATCGAAACACTATAATCACTTTGAACGTTAAGTTTAAAATCCACGAAAAGGGAACTCACCGGTGTGGGAGTAAGTAGCGGCTAAAGGTGCAGCGATGGCTGGGGCAGCATAGGCAGCTCCGTAACCGTAAGCGAGAGGTGCAGCAGCGATGGGGGCAGACAAGTAACCAGCTTGAGAGACAGCGACGAGGGCGAAAAGAGCGACAACGGTGAAGGTGTTCATTTTGATGTTGGTTTGGTGTTTGGTGTTTGAGTTGCAAAAGCAAAGAATTGAAAGTTAATCAAATGATTTAGTTGGAACTGAAGAATCGAATGATCTTTCCAACGAATCGTTAGTCGCTTTTATACTGGACGTTTCAACCTTGAAACTCGGTCAGAAAGTTAAGCGAAAGAGAAAACGAGAAAGAGAGAGAGAGAGAGAGAAAAGATCATGAGAAGATGAGAAAGTGAGAAAGAGAAAGTGAAGAAAAAGAAAATGATGGAGGAAGAATAATTTTCGATGATGATAAAGATGATAGATAAAAGAAAGGAAAGAAAGAAAAGAAAGTGAGGTGGATTAAAATAATCGATAGATTGTTAATGTCCGAACGATAGAAAACTTGAAATTCAATCCACCCTCTCAATCGAGCCGATCCCAACTCCACCTTGACTCTCACTCCAATTATCATCTAACTTTCACTTTCTTTCATCTCATTGATCTTCCTCCCCTTCCCCTTCCCCAGCCAACGAAACGTAAATGTCCATTTGCACTTAAATGAATCGGTCAGTTTTCATTATCTTCTCATTTTCTTTTCTTCTCATTTCTTCCTATTACCTTGATAGAAACGCGTTGGCTTAAAATTAATCCAACTACGAATTAACATGATTCTCAATTCATCTACCTTTTAATTCAATTCTCAAGGATAAATCAAGGTCGAGTTCGACTTTTTCAGATTAATTTAATCTCTCATTTTTTTCTGATCATGTTGATGTTCAATTGAAATTGAACATAAATCGAGGAGCGGCCAGTTGATTGTTGTATCTTTATCAATTTGTTGATTAATCAAATTTATGGATCAAACGTTTTCTCTTTAATCACTTTTCAATTTAATTTGTCAGTTAAGAAAGTTTAACAGAATCAAATTTCCAATTAATTGTTTAATCAATCTAATCATTTACTCTGATTGTCAAAAAAGTTTTATTATTTTTGTTCCCCGTTGATTTTATTTTTCAGTTTAACTGATTCATAATTATATAAGTTTAATCACTTGTTCATTTTGTTCATTGGTCTCAAAGTATCAACAGTATAACAACAACAATTAACAGTTTTTTCCCCGTTAATCGTAATTAGATAAATTGTTAATCCTGTTAATTTAAACGAATCGAAAAGAAAAAGTTTCGTCATGTTGAGTCTTCTTCGTTAGTTAATCCATCATCCTCTCACTTTTAACCTGTTTTAGATCAATTTACAATTAACGCTGATTTGCGATCAACAATTAAAATCTTATAAAAGGTCATGTTAATTGTGTTTATTATTGTATTCAGTTGATTGTTAGTTCTAATTAGGAATCAATCCTTTAATCATCATTCACTTTCTCTCTCTACGATTACCAAAAATGACCAAATCCAAACTAAGAAAATTCAAAAGTTTCCAAATGATAATCAACAACAACAATTAAAATGAACAAAATGAACAATCAAATCAAATCAAAAATCGCAGAAAATTAATAATAATAATTTCTGATTGTGATAATTTGATATCTTCTTTAAGTCAATTTTTTTAGGTCAACTCACAATTGTAATCAAAGATGGTGATGATGATGATGATGATTTACAATTCAAACAAACAATCAACTTTAATTTCATTCAATTTGACTATGGATTAAAAAAAATGACGGATAACTGAATTAACGGTCATTTGATTACAACAATTGTAACAAATTAGCTAAAATGTTGGTTGAAGGTTCATTATCATCAGCATAATAATACAATGTAATCATTATGATTATAATTTCAAGTTGATTATTATCATCACCATCAAGTCAAGGTTTTTAATGATTTGTTTTAATAATAATACATCAGGTAACACGTTATTTGCAAACCAAAAATCAATTGTTACCTTGTTGTTGTGGTTCCATTAGATTTAATAGTAAATTAAACAGGTAAAAACATCGTAATCCTAAAAGTTAACCTTCCTTATCATTATTATTATGATTATTAATCAATCATTTCTTTTATTTAATTTTGCTTTACTAAGTCCAGATAAACTAATCAACGAAATATAATCATAATGATAAACAATTAACGTGATAGAAAAGTTTTCTTTCACTTTTCCTTTACAAAGCCAATGATCAAATCTATTAGATGATCATCAAGATTCAATTACAATGAAATCTTAAAATTAATATAATGTTATGAAAATCGTTAATTGTGATCAATGAAATCTCAATTAACCATTGATTCAGTTTAATGTTAGATTGTTGTTCATTTAACAGTTAAATTTGAACCAATTATCAGTTGAGCTTATTAGTGCGAACTGAGTTCAATAAATTGCCAACAAATTGTTAAATTGTTGACCATTATATTGTTATGGTCATTTTGTATTATCCAAACTGACCAATCAACTAAACTAACTAACTTCAAATGTTTGCTAATTTTTGCAAAGAGCTTATGGCAAAATTTGTGGTTAATCATGATGATGATGATGATGGTGATGGTGATTAGTGAGATTAAATTAATGAAAGTTAATCATCTGATCATTTGATCATTAAGTTAACCACGAAGTCTTAAACATTGAGAAATTAATTAGAATTAAAAATTACATCATGTTAACAGGGAAAACCGTTTAACATGATGAAGAAATGAAAACATGATCACAATTTATATATTTTCTTATTCGCAATCAATTTAATTTTTCATCATCGTCATTAACATGATTAAGATTAAATCATGACCATCAAAGTTTCCATCATGCTAATTGACTGATGGCTCTTTTTTAAATCGGGTGGAGTCTTTAGCCGAAAGCTAATTAATAAATCATTACGATGTAACAATCAACTTGGTTCATTCATTTTCCAGAGTTTTGCTTTTTTTTTAATTATTCATTGATTAACTTTTTTCACTTAATCTTTTCAAGTTGAATTAATTTTGTTTACATTTGATTTGCAAGGAAAAGATGAATTAAATTGTTTTTATACAGTTTTAAATGGTGGAAGAGATTAAAATGGTTAGTTTAATTGTTTAAATTCTTGACAGTTGTCAAGGTTAATTAGTTTACTAATCGCACAGTTGAAAATGTTGAAAATGATTCTCACAAGATGATTATAATGGTTGATTGGTTAGAATATTCTAGGAAATTAATTGTCTCTATTTCACGAATTTTTAAATTGTTTACTAATCGTTTTGAAGGTTTCGATTTTTGTTTAGAATTTAAATTTCACTTTGGACTTTGAAATGACCTATCAAAGTATCTTTAAGGCTAAAGCTAAACTTAGATTTTGGGAAAATTACAGAAAAATTGCCGATTGAAAAGTTCTTGAGATGGTGATTGACTTGAAGGAATCAGCCAGAGGGAAGATGGTCTTGGATCATTTCAATGGAACTTTTTTCGTTATTCTCATTTGGTTAGAATTAATTAATTATCTGATGCATGTGATTTCATCAAATCCGAAACTGATTGTAACCGTTCATTTAGAGTATTCAATTTATGTTCCAATTGATTGATGATTTTCACTAGTAGATTGTTTTCTTCGTCTTCTTCGGGCTCTAATGGTCTCTTTCTTTCATCTTCTAATTCTTGAATTTTGGTTCGTGTGTTGGCCTCCAATTTCTGTAAATTCTTAACCATATTATCTTTGATCATTGTTGGGTACATCTTTTTACTAGTTTCCAATCGAGAGCTTAATTTCCCCATGGTAATGGCAACTTGTTTTGGTGTTAAATCGGAAAAGTTGAACACTTTCTTTGTAATCATAAGATCAAATGGATCAAAAGTATCACTGATACGCTCTGATGAGGGTTCTTTTGCTTCAGAATCATCACTTGTATCAACACTTTCTTCAATTGAAGTAGACGCATAATCAGCAGCAATGGTTGACAAATTGTGATTATGATTAATCTGTCCGATTATACTTCGTCTACCATTATGAATCTCCCCACAGTTTGTAAAATTGAAATCCAATGAATCTAATGAGAACTCTTCTTCATCATCACTTAATGGCTGTGAAATCGTTTTCGATTGAGCAATGAATGTTTTCTCAGCTTGAAAAGAAAAAAAAACAAAACAAAAAATGATTTTATTAAAAAAAACACCAAACAAAAAATGAGAATATAAAAGAAAACATTTTCTTACCATCAACTGGTTGTTCAACTCGAATCAAATAAGGCCCTTCTAAGCTCTCTTCGAGTTTAGAGATTTCACATTCTTCGTCCATGGTTAATTAAAGAATCAATTCAATTAATTAAAAACAAGAGAATTAAAAAAACTTACCAACTAAATTAAAGGAAAACACCAAAGAGACAATTTGTAAACAAAAGTTTTTCTGTTTATTGTTTGAAAAAAATGCGCGAAATTATTTATCACACTTATCCCTTCCAATGAACATCAAGTTAAATGGTTTTTAATTTAAAAGTTGAATTTTTTTTTTCTTATCAACAAATTGTTAACGGTTTAATTTTTTGACCAATTAGTGGACAATTAGTGTTTTGTTAATCATTTAAAAACCGATTGCTTCTAGATTGTCATCATTAGTGTTTCTCTCTTTGCTTTATGACTATTTCTAAATCGTTTTTGCTCCGTTTTGTTAATCGTTTTGTGTTTTTCCATTTTCTTAATCATGTCAACAACTCGTTTTTTCAATTCAAATGTTTTCCAGAGATTTTTTAAAAATCGTAAAGAACCTTTGATCGAGTCAAGGGCACCGGTTGGTAAATTAAATCCTGACATTGTTTCCATTGTTCGTGATTGGGTTGACGAGGATTGTCTAATTACTTTGGACGATATCAGTCATCGATTGGGAAAACAATATGGAATCTCAATTGGCCAAGATAAGATAACTTGTTGCTTTAATTCACTTCATTTCTCAGTTGAACGAGTACCAGTTAATTGTCCCTTTAAGGTTAACCAAGAGGCTTTACTTTTATTACGAAAGGTGTTTGCCGATGATTTTCTTAAATATTCTAATCGTGTTAATTTATTTTTCATTGGAACCACAAAGGTTACGATAAACACCAGAGTTTATCAGGGTAAAAAAGCTTCACCCCAATGGGCAGTTAAAAGTAAAACGTTCACAATTAGTGTTGCTCTTCGTCCTGATAAAGTGTTTTTCCATGAAATTCAGGATTCATCTTACAATCATAAAGAGACACCAAACAATTCACCAGATAAACCTCAAGCTCCGATGAAATTTTCTCATTTCTTCAAGAAATTCACTGAAAAACTGGAAGCTGATGGAATCAGGGGTGCAAACATTATCATGGATGGAAAATGTTATTACCATGTACTTCAAGAAGATGCTGATTTACTTCAATCTAGACAATTACAACACAAAATAGCTATTCTACCAGGCGAAACTCCTGAATTCAATCCACTGGAAACTCTATTTGACTCTCTCAGGTATCACATTGAGAAATTTAAACCCATCGACCCGGAAAGTGTATTCGCTGCGTTGAAAAAACTACCTGAAAGTGTCACCGAAATTGATTGTTCATATTATTTTTCCGACTCTTTGAATCACATTGAAAGTTGGAGTGAAATGCATTTTTAATTACATCTTTCTAACCTTCATATGTCACCTTAATTGACCTTTTTCAACCACTGGACTCTCATTAAATTGTCATCAACACAAACATTTATCTCAAATAAACAACTTTCAATCAATTTCAATGCTGTTAACAACTTTAATGATTTAAATGACAGTTAAAATCTAAAGAATAAAATAATTTTGATAACATTTAAAGTCCACTTTGTTTACCCTTAATTCCGAGAATGTGAGTTGCATATGCTTGATTCATTTGCTCAAGAAAGATGAATGTTAAAACGGTATGAGGACCAAGTCTAAGATAATAAGGTGTAAATCCTTTCCATAGAGCGAAAAAGCCTTCATTTCGAGCAACTTTGAGAAGTACATCCTGAATAGAGAGGGAAAAACATGATAGAATTAGAATGAGTGATATACAAATTGAGGAAAAAACAATAGACATAATAATGAATTTGAAGGAGGAAATAAATTGTTCACTCACAATTGCTCCTTTATACTCTGGTTTACCATCAATCATTTTCATATTTTGTATACGAGTTTTAGCAATATCGACCGGCATACTTGCTGCTGTCGTAATTAATCCTGAGATCATGGAGGCAACAAAATGACAGAAAATGTTATCATTAAAATATTTAGTTGACATTAAAATTTGTTTCGCTTGAGAATATGAGGCTAATTGAGCTGCATTTACAACCATAGCTCGACCAATTGTGGGTACACATCCTCTCCATAGAGTTAAAACACCTTCTTCCTTTGATATTCGTAAAAGAGCATCGAAAACATTTCGATAATTTCTCCTTTCGGCAATTGGTAATCTACCATCAGAAGTCATTCTAATCAATGAAACCTCAGCTGGAGTACCAAAGAAAGCTCCAACCGCTCCGGCGGTCATACCGATCGCTGCTTTGGCTAAGAAACCAGGTCGCTTTTCAGATGAGGAAAATTTCTCAAATAAAGATGAATAAACTCCTAAACGAACGGTGGTGTAACATGCCTGACGAAAAGTCCAGCAGATAATCCGGTATAAAGAGCGGTGATTCCCTCGCTCTTGATAACAGATCTAAATACATGGAAACTTGTCTTGTGTTCTCGGGCTTTACCTCCTTCTCCTTGAGTTGATTATTTTGTTGTTGAGGGGTAAACAATGTTTTCCAATATGAGAGAGAGAAAGAGAGAGAAAACAATTAATACTTGTCACCACATCACAAGTGTTGGATTTTAGTCAATAGATAAAAAGGAAAATAAATAAATGTGTAAGCATATGGATAAGATATAAAGTGGAAATAAAGTTTCCATCAAAATCTCCCCTTTTGATTGATCTATCAAATCCATTTGAATTAGTGTTTAAGCTTCTTCTATAACCAGGAAAACTTTATTTCCACCATTTTCAAGAGTATAAGGTCAAGTGTACTTGACAAATAAATGTAAATGTCAATTAAGATAAAGTCAGCTGATCATTAAGTTAATCCAAGCGCAAAGAAAAGACTCAATGTCAAATGTTAACATTTAAATGATTTACCAGTTAATTGCATCCTATTCTTGACCAGATCAAATGGTTGAACAAACATTGTAGCAGCCATTCTATAATTAGTAATAAGGAATAAGGAAAATAAAGCAATAAAATTGTTACAATTAATCACAAAATTAACATGTAAATAGCAATAAAAAGTATGATAAGGTTTTGTTTATTACCCTGCGGTTCCTCCAATCACAAATTTCATTGTCTTTGGAATGGTTGGTGTTGCCGATGGCTTTTGATTATCTTGAGTTGCCATAATTAACAGTAAACAAGAAGAACAATTAAATTTGTAAAAGGAGGAAAACACACAGAGGAAGAAGGAGGCAATTGAAATGAAAAAACAAACACTCGAAGTATCAAAAGCAAAAACAGTTGATCGACTCAATCGGTTGTTTTAATGTAAACATCACCTTTACAGTGTTGAATAGCTTAGCTACTCTAGTGGTACACTCACCACATGTAATTGTGATTTTTACCACAATATTTGATTTGAAAAATGTACATTCATACAGAATTTCTTAATTAAATTAACAATTTGGATAAAGGTTTCAATATTTTTCGTTGGATCTTGATTTGGTTTGTTAATTGTTTCCAAGCAATAATCAAGAATATAACGACATTCTTTGAATATATGAAAAATGTTCGTGTTTTGACAGCATGGCATCTTGAAATGGTAATGACCAATTTTCATAATATTAATAATATTATAGTAATTGTATTTATATTTATTGAGAATTTTCATCTCAGGGTCTATGATAGCGAATGGATTGGACCACTTTAATAACAGTTTCATCAGTTCTTCACGAACTTTTTGCTTGCTGATTCTTTTCCAACACGAGAGGGGAATCCAATTTAAATTAATTCTTTCTCCTTCTTTGACTGTTGTTGTTTTCCTTATCTCGCTATATTTCCAATGGTTTTCCTCGGATATGGTTGAATTTATCAGGAATAGGGCATCTGAAGCACTAGAACTAATATTATTAATATTATTAATAATTAGTTTGTTATGAATTATTATCGTTGTTATTTTCTTTCGCTGTATCAGGATAATTTGAGCAATGATCGCAAAAAGAAATTGACACCATCCTCCAGTATCTGTGAATTTAAATGTATAAATTTCATTCTCTTGTCCGAATTTTGTTACACTTATCCCGATGGTTTCCCGCTCCCTGAAATAGTTAATTTCATGCTGAACTGGGCCTATGAACTTGTATTTGAAGAGTTTCTTATCAATTTGTCCTGGTGGAAGTCGATATGGTAGCTTGATTAAGCAATTTTTGTTGATCTTTTCTGATTTAGACCAGTAATTCCATTTTATTATATCTAACCACAAATTTTCAATCGGGTGTGAAATATTGTAGATGTAGTTAACGTAAGAACTATGGAAGTTTGATTTTTCCAGTAAACTCAAACATTTGTTAAAGATGTTGAACATTTTCTTTAAATTTTCTTCAAATTCGTCTTGAAAGAATATTGTATATCCGAGAACTTTAGTTTTAGGAATAATAATATTATTAATTATCATTCTTTTGACTTCGAATGGCAGGGAGGTTAATAATGTTTTGTCGCATTTGAATAACAATTTAAATTGTTCTGATAAATCTCTTGTCATTTTAAATAATGAAAAATTATTATATATTTTGATACCAGTGATTGTAAATGTTTTCAACTTAGATTTTGTGCACACGATTTCTGTTTTGTTCATTGATAAATTGAGTCCTGTTTTTCTTAGGATATTGTCACACACCTTGATTAGAATTTCTGGTTTATGAGCTGATGATCCGAAAATGATGATATCATCGGCGTATGCTTTGACTGTTATTCCTTTTGTCGAAGCTTCTCTTATGAAAGAGTCGAGTGCTAGAGCAAAAATAACAGGTGATGATGATGCTCCTTGAGGAGTTCCAAAATCTTCTTCTTTGTACCAGTTTACTTTGTTCCATTTGATTTTAACGAATCTTTTCTTGCAAAATTGTTCGATTAATTTTGCTAAATTATTATCGAATTTTGAAATTCGGTTGATTAGTTCTTTTAAATTTACCCTGTCAAACGCTGCTTCAACATCAGCTTTAATAATATTATTATTATTCATTTTTTCCATGCACATTTCATGAATATCTAATGCAAATTTCTCTCGAGAGCTACCAGAGATGAATGCATATTGAGTGTTGGGCATAATCAACTTCCTTGCAATTTCTTGTAATCTATTAGCGATGATAATATCAACCATTTTGAGCACAAAACATGGGGTTTTGATTACTCTAACGTTTTCTGTGTTCGCTTTTGGAACGAATCCACCACCAAGTATTCTTATTGATTTTGGGATGTATTGATGATGGATAATTGATGATAATAATATTTTTATTTTTGTTTGATTGTGTTGAATGAACTTCAGCCATGATTTAGAGGTGAATGAATCGGCATTTAGAGAACTTGCTTTTCTAGTTTTGTCAATGATTAATTGCCATTCCTCATCAATTAGTTGATCGTTGTTTTCAGTTGTGGTTGGATATGATTCGGTCGTTGAAGGTTTTTTGTTTGTGTATTCTTGTAATTTATTTTCAATTGATGGAACGAATTTTTTTGGACAATTCGTTTGATTAAGCACCACATTAGGTTTCTTATTGATGATCCATGTGTTAATCTTATTCCAGAGAATTTTTCCTTTGGATTTGAATGTTCGAAATATTTTGTTGATTGAAAATTTTCTTTGTTTCTTTTTGAGTTTATCCAACAGGATTTTTCGTAACTGTTCATTTCTACATCTTTTAATTTGTTTATTCAGATTACGAATGCCACTCGATGATTGTTGTGAGTTAATGATTTTCCATTTACCATTGTGGTCAGGAAAGGATTTGATTGATTCTGATGCTTGATTCAGAAGATCAATTGGAATAAGATCTTTTTCGACTTTAAATTTGTTGATTTCCCAGTTCATTTTCTTTAATATTCGAATTTTAGATTGTTGGTTTATTTCGCCACCATTTAGTTCTATATTTGATTGTAAAATATTGTGATCTGTACTATTAATAATAATATTATTATTAATATTAAATTCTTTTGGAATTAAAATACAATCTAATGACGACTTAAATTCTCCTCTTGTGAATGTGATTGAGTCTATTGGAAAACAGGATTTATGATGTTGGAAACACTTTGTAATTAAATTATAATTCTTTTTACATATTCTTGATTGTTTAGTTGACCATATCTCGTGAGCTGAATTTGTATCTGAACAAAATATAAATGGAGCATCCAAATCATCAAGGTAATCACAAACATTCGGCCATTCTTTGTCTCCTACACTCGAGTAGAATGAGTTAATGTAGTATTTTTTATTCTTCCAGATGAAAGAAGCACTTGTTAATTCGTTAACTTGATGAGAAATTTCCTTGGGTCTTAAAGTTGTTGGTATTAATAAACATGATCTCCCGTTCAAGTAGATAACGACGTTGATGTCTTTGATTTTTTCACAATTTTTGTAACAGTTTATGTTCGGAAATTTTTCACTTATCCACTGTCCACAAGGTTCATTGATCGAGACTATTGTATTTGTTGTTATCATTGAACAGACAATTTTTGTTTTGGAATAGTTTTTATTCAGATTCCAATGTATAACCGTTAACATGTTGAATTTAAGTTCGTCTGACTTTGATCTTTAATTTTGTCTACTAGATGGAGTTATTATAGTTTTTGGCGCTAAAAAATGAAAGCTAATTGTTTATTTATAAATGTTTGTTGTCGCTTAATTTGTTTATTTTTCCGCTTTAATTGTTACAATCGAGTTGATTTGTTATTATTATTAATATTATTATTATTATTATTAAATTTTCATTGTGAATTAATTATTGGTTATATTTAGTGAATCTAATATTCAACGATGAACATAAAGTTGAATCAGATTGTTGGGAATGTTGATACAAAATATTTTGTGTGTGGGATTTGTGAGAAAATAGCTGTTGATCCGAGAGTTCATAATGGTGGTTTTAAGCAAAGATTTTGTATGAGGATGTATTGTAATGTTTGTATTTCAACTCGAGCCGGAAATCCCGCTTTCGCAAAACCTCCTGAACCATACAAAAAGCCTCAGACAAAGTGTCCAATTCCAAGTTGTCATGTTGATTTCAATGATCCTTATTTTACTTTTATGGGTAACATGGAAAGAGAAGCTTATGCTTTACTCAAGGTTGAGTGTACCACTTGTAAGAGAATCTTTGGAATTCATGATTATTTGGCCCATGAAGTTCGTTGTTTCCATGGTCAGACTCCAAAGCGTAAGGAAATTCCTTTGGATTTGTATACAGCTTATGGTGTTAATAATACTGTTGATGAATTCACCCAACGAGTTGCAAGAGGAAAAGTATATAATATTATTAGTATTAATAATCGTATTGATCAACCTTTGTATGGTTCACTCACCGGAGATGAGGTTCCACTCTATTGTCTTGGTGCTGATAAAACTCCGTCAATTATGACTAAGAAGAGTTTTACTCCACAGCAGTTAAAGGAGCAGTTGAACCAAATCTATGGGTATAAGACTGAACTTATTGATGTGGTTAAAATGTATCACCAAAGTATCAATCAATGTGCTACTGTGGGTGAATTTTTGGATGATTTCCCGGTGAAAAGTCCAGTTAATATCATTCCTCATCGGTTGACTTATTCACGACCCAATTATAATCTTTCGATGCGATACCTTGGTGGATTTCCACATAAGTGTCCTTTCTGAGCTTTGGAAAGCTAAATAATATTGTATTCTTAAGAAGAAAGAAAAAGGAAAAAATTTGTTTAAAAGAGATTTGAAAATTAATTGAAATTTAGAAAAATTATGTTGTAGTTTTGTAACTTGACAACAAATTTGTTGATTGAAAAATTTAAATTGACTACGTTGTAATCATTTTCATTAATATTATTATTAATAATAATAATATTAGTATTCATGTTATAATAAAAATTTATATTCTCATTATCCAAGAATAATTGAAATTTGTTTTTTGAATCTCTTGTCTCAATCGAGCTTGAAACATCGGACATTCCCAAGCGTTGGAATCGTGACCCTTTTGCATACAAATTGGACAAACATATTTGTCTGGTTGATCTTTGATTGGACAAGCGATAGGTCGATGATTGCCTGTACAAAAACGACAGACTGTTTGAGCTTTACAATGAGATCCAAAATGACCCAAGGTCTGACATTTCCAACATTTTAGTATATTAAAATGATCTGTCACGTTCATCAAATTAAAGCGATAGAATAGTCTTCCTTTAATTTGTTCCAATTCTTCTCGAGTTTCAGGTGATACTGAAATTATCACGTCAAAGCTTTTACCATCACGATTCGGAAAATTCGTAACATATTGGAATGAATATTTTCTTTGTAGATTAGCTTTACTAAGAATATCATTAATAATATTGGTCCATTCTTCTTTCGATTCAACGTTACCACTGAATTTAACGTTGTGAATTTTGATTCTTGGATCGAAAGTATCAGGCCAATTAATATTAATATTGTTGTTCCAATTTTTGATCGCTTTTATAGCTTGTCTAGCTGATAAAACATCCGGAGCTCTTGCTTTGACTGTTTTATTGAGTGGAATGAGAACCAGCGGTAAGTCTTCTAGTTCACCTAATACACAAGCTGAATTCATCTTTTTAATCAGTTCCTTTGGTTCAATTTCACTTTTCATGATAAATACTGGATCCATCTCAATTGTTTCCCATTTTTTCCATGTTTTTGGAATAGAGCTTAGTTCTCTATCGAAAACAACTTTTTTGGCTTTTTTCGATGGAGTAAATTCTGAATCTTTATATTTGTTTTTCAGATTCTGATAGTTTTCATTAACTTTCTTTCTATCAAACTGGATTCTTGTTGCATTAATTTCATCATCGGAATCTTCACCTTCCTCACAAATTTGATCATCGATTGTTGATTTACTTGGTTGAATGTTTTTTGATGTTCCGGGGAGATTTTGATCCAAAATTTCAAATTCATTATTATTGGCAGTGTTTTCCAACATGGTGGCCTCATTAATGTTGTTATTATTAATATTATTAATATTAATATTAATATTAGCAACCTCAACTTGATCAGTGTCCGGTTGAATTATTTCATCAATAAGATTGTTAAATCTAATGTTAATTTCAGAAATAATTTGCTTCGCCATGGTTACTGACGATGGGTCAACTTCTGGCATATTTACTAATTCTTTCAACATCCAATTAGTTGTATTTTTAATTTTCTTTGCTCGATTTTCCGTTAACTTGTAACCCATGGAAGTAAGTCCTTTGGTGTTACAGGTGATAAATTGGAGGGATTTGAGGTGTTGAATCCACGTGTTTTTGTCCACGCTTGAAATCTTCGTTTCTATTAGTTGATTCTTTTCATGAATGAAATCTAACCAACTCAGACTTCTTGAGATATTATCTTTGGATAATTGATCTAAATGTACATGGGTTTAAAGAAATTATATATAACATTAATATTAATATTAATAACAAAATAACGTGTACCAAGTTAATATATATAACACTGGGCGTTGGCCTTAGAGTAGAATTTCATTATTTTCTTTATTTTTATTATTCTTACCTTGATTATTAGTGTTCATTTTGATGCCTCACTTGTTTATTATTAATATTTTCACAGTTTTATTTATTAATTAAATTGATTCACGATAATATAATTAATTAATTCACCTTGATTTTTATCGGTTTGAGGAAAAACAAAAAATAGAAAAATTTCTCCCACCAGATGGCGTGTGAATCGAAAACTGATTATGTGGAATTGATTTTGTCTTAATCACTTCAATTAATCGATAGACAATCAAAGACTAATCAGTTAATCTGAAGTTCAGATTGTGAATAAAGATTAACTCAGAGTATCTTTTCCAGTTTTTTTTCCAACCTTAAGACTCAAGTACAAATCTTCATATTCAATTAACTACGATTAAAGTTGAACGAAAAGTTTATCAATCGATTAACTTGAATCGTTGATTGTTCACTTTAATTGAATTGAAATAATTCACAATTCTCTCCATTCTCATGTAATTCAATTCCTAAGAATTTTTGTTAATATCCTGAAACACGTGTTTTTGATGATCATCGAAAATGATCAACACAATTAACATGTTTACCATCTAATCAGGATTAACATTTCTGGCGACTGACACACACAATAGACTAAAACAATTGAAGACAATCAATATTTACCAAGGATTTTACCAACAACAATTAAACAAAAAGATTGGCTAAACGCCCGTTAACCAGGATCACAATACCTGATATTTATTAATAGATTAGTCTTGTGAACTCTTATCATTTATTATTAATCAACAAGTACTAATATTAAACACCCACCCGAAAAAAAATTAAACAACAATTTAGTTGTCTCTATACAACCAAACCCACCTTGAAATCCTCCATCATCATCAATGAGTTTGTAAATGTTGAATTAACAAGAGAAACAAAAAAATCAATTCAATTGCCAACAACAACAATATGTTAACATTAATGTCCTTTTATGGTTAATCTTTGTTTCTATGATACAAAAAATTAACTCAATTAACTTTCTCACAATTTAAATAACCCATTGGTACCAAAATTGTATCGATAACTTGACGATTTACTTGGTTAATTGTGCGATTTACTAATTGTATCCAAAAGTTTGGAAACTTTTCTCAAAATAAATTATGTTAAAGAAGAAGAAGCATCAAAATGATGATGATGATGAAGATAAAAGAAAGAAAAAGAAAGATGAAGAAGATGAATTAGAGTGAGAAAGAAGATGATAATTTAGTTTCGTTTAAATTATCAACATTTAACAGAACAATTAAGAATAACAAACTTGAACCAATTCAATTTAACTATTAACCTTTGCAAGAAACTTTTCATCTGTAAAGTGTCACTAAATTTTCACAATTAAACTTCATTGGGAATATTTTGATCGTAAATTATTAATCGCTTGTGATTGTGCCTTCTAATTAAAGTTAACTAACTTACATGATGATTAAGTTAATCCATATTGTGGCGTTTTGAGTGGGCTCAACAATTTAGTTTGCTTTTTAGATCTAAAATTAAACCAAATGACTTTCAATCAACAATCCGACACATAAACACTTTGTGATTAACTAAATTTCGTCTTGAAACTTTCAATATCTTCCAGATTATTTTCCCTCAATTTATTAATTGTTGTTCGGTTGACTTGGAAATCATGGCTTTCGGTTTGATTGAGGCTTGTCAAGTGATCTACGCTTTCATATGTGTCATCGGATTTGTGTCCAATTTCTTGGTCATCTATGTAATCTTTTGCTGTATCTCACCTAAGAGTCGATCTCGATTGACCTCACGAACTATTCTAAGTTTAGCTCTTTGTGACCTTCTAGGTGTTCTCAATTTACCCTTTTTCATTTCCTCAATGTCCAATGGTTGGTCATTCTCATCAACTCTTTGTTCATTTTTCACCTTCACTCTAATTGTTGAACAATTTGCCAAAACTTTTCTTCTCACCTTATTGGGATTAACCTCAGTGGCTCAATACCAAGGGTCAGTTTATAATTTAACCGAGGCTAAAATGACCATCCTATTGGGCTCTATTTGGACAAGTTCAATTGTTCTATCGTTAATTTTCACCTCATTAACTTCCTCTCAAGTTAATTGCGATCTATTTCTCTCTTATGATTTCCCGTTCAAAGAAACATTCACCTTCATGTACACCATTTGTGTCCTTTTCTTGCCGATCATGATACTTTCTCTGCTTCTTTATCAATCTCGTCGTGAACCTTTCGAACCAACCGAATCTGTCATTGAACTGTTCGAACTGTCCATTGGCCTTCTTACAGTTCATATTATCCTTTCTATTGGTCATGTTATCGGTGTTTGGATATCAACCTTTTCAAAGGTTCCACCGGGTATTCCGGAACCGGAATGGAAAGTTGAATGGATCATGATTAGTGGAATCATTTGGTGTGCACAACGATTTGTATTCCCGATCGTTGATTCATATTTTTGGACTGAATTTAGAAAAGGATTAATCTCTATTTATACTGATTCTCTTGAATATCGACCAATGGCCCGATATGAGAATCCAAAAAATGGCCCCTTATAATTAACCATCGATAGAATTTAAAATTGTCATTAATATTTTCTCATGAATAAAGTTGATCCAAAAAAAGAAACAGACTCATTCTTCCGGTATATTTACTAATCCAATTAATTCTCAACCACCTGTTCTCTATTATCGTTATTAATTCAAAAATTCTAATCAAAAATCATCAACCTAATTGATAAAAACTAAGCGTAGGTTTAGAAAAGTTAATGGAACCAAAAGCAATTTAGAACATCAACTTTTCCAAAATTAACAACACCAGTAATTGAATCAATTCTAAAGTACACAAGCTTCGAACAAAAGTCATCATGATAAAAATTCTGACAAAAGAAAAACAAATCAATCTACAAAGATATTCCGATTGAACGAAATTAATAACTTTTCTAATCGTAAACGAAAAAATGATTAAGCTTTTCTTTTCCATCCAATAGATGGCGCTGTAAACCGTTTTCGCAAAAATTCTTTGAAATGAAAAGAAGCCAAAAATTTAATTTCTTTTCCCTTTTTCGATTAAACTGCCAACAATTTTTAATTGCGAATTAAGTGTTTAAATAAATTTCATCATGACTTCTGAATCTTCAAATAACAGTCTTTTCGAGAACCAGGAGTCAAGAGACAAGGTAGTTTTGTTTATTCTCAACATCCAATGTGACTATTTGTCCCAAGAGATCAATAAATTGGAAGGTTATATTGTTGAACGTTCAATGAGATTGGCTGTTCTTAAAAAGAAAATAATTGACATTAATGAATCATTTTCGTCAAAAACCTTTGATCATTTGAAGAAATACTTTGGTGATGTAGATTATAAAGAAAAGATAAAAGCGGAACAAGAAGCCAAATTGGAAGAAATTAAATTGATTGAGACTGAGAATCAAGAGCTACAGGTGAAGATCAACAGTAAACAAGAGGAAAAAGCTTATGTTGAACATAAAAGCGAAACTGAAAAGGTCAAGAGAGCAGAAAAAGAAGAGAAATTGATCAAAAGGAGGACTGAATTGGAAGAATCTACCAAAGGACTTTTGAGGGATGTCGCCATGTTAACAAAGTAAGAAAATTAGATTATCTATCATATTATACAAGATGAGATTTGTGATTTGATTTGGTATATATACTTTTTTTTTACAGTGAATTCAATAAGATGAAAAGGAAAAATGATTTAAATTTTAGATGCCAGTTGACTGCCGAGCAAACCCAATGTTTAAGAACTTTTGGTAATCCTCATCATCGCTAGCAGATAAAGATGACACATCTGATACGCTTTGAGGCAAAATTGGATCAACACAGACTTGATTGTTGCAGTCTATGGGAATCGGGTTACCTTCTGGTGGTTCTTGGTCTTGTTTGGGGTCTTGGTCTTGGTCCTGGTCTTTTTTGGCTACTTTAGGCTCAATGTGTGGATTCAACTCTTCCGGTTGTTTTCTCTTTTCATTAAAATACATTTTCCTTTTGAGAAAGTTGTTACCAAAAAAGTTCTTCTCAGCCAAAGTGTTGGCGATATCACTAGTCTCATCAACCGCAACGATCGGAAATCTATCCTTAAATTCATTGAAAGTTATTATGAAAGTTGGATATTCAATTATTGTCCTCCTTTGAAGAGCTTTATTTAAGCTTTCTTTTCCATCGATTTGATGAAACTTTTTACCAGTAAAAAGTAAAATTAAAAATTTCGATTCATCGGATAATCTGTAACATGTCAACAGTTTCCAAATATCATGTCTTTCCAGAATATCTTTTGGATTGATAACATCAGTCAATATTTCGCCGAGGGTTTTATTTTCATCAACTCGATTTAAAACCAAAGATGAAGGTTTCTCAATGACAGTTCCCTTTTCGGTAATATGTGTGAAAACAAGGCCAACATCCCATCTGATTAACTCTTTATTGTAAATGTAATTTGTTTGATTTTTGATTCTTTTCTCGAAACTACCAGGTAGTAGGATAAGTCTGGTTCCTCTTTTTCGAGCAGCAAAAACTAATTTCCTAGCCCAGGCTGGAATATGATCAGAGTTTTTAATTATCTTCTTACGACCTCGAATGGAACAATCTAAAAGTCTTGAACCTTCTTCGAGAAATTCAAAGTCTGAAAAGAGAAAACGATAAATAATCATTAGAAAACAATACAAAAACAAACATGATAACCAAGAATCTTACCTTTGAAAAATTGTTTATCATCAAAATCATCAATCTTTTTAAACTGAATACTTTGTTTACCATCACAATCAAATTCAACTTTATGAATGTTGATACATTCAACTGAACAAGTGATCATCAAACATCCTGGGCACTTGTATTTAAATTGTTTTTCTTTACAAATACAACACAATTTGATTGAACTTTCCATGGAAATTAAATTCACTGATTCACCACAAATTCAGGTAGATAATTTGATGAACAATTAGAAATAAACAAAATCAAAATTAATCAACATGTGCTTCAGATTCAAATTGAATCATTCAATTGAAAATCAGCTGAGATTTAAACTCCATTTCTATCAACAGATGGAGCTACTTGTTGGAATGAATTTCTGTTGATTTAGTTTTTAATTAATCGACGATTGAAACAATCAAAATTCAACAATTGTAATTACAATTACAATTACAAAAAAGACAAAGATATCAGATAATTACGATTATATTGTTATATGTTTTGACATTGTAACTTTGGACTAATCGATGTCGAATGTTTTGAAAAAGTTTTATTTCCAAAAGGATTAATTGATCCTGAGATTTTGTGAGAAAATAAATTGTCAGAATTATGATTGAATGAAAAACGATTAATGTTTATTATTTATGATCAAATTGATACATGAGTAGAAGATTTTTGATGATATTATCAATTTTTTATTTCGTTTTAAACTTTTTTCATTAACAAATTTTCTTCTCCTCGATTGTTATTCACTTTGATTGAGATAATTTAAAACATAATGAAGAATCAGATCGTAGCAATATTTGTATTCCGTCTAAAGAAAAACGATAAAAAGATAAATTTAGAGAATTGGAAATAGATCAATTAATCTAATGTCTAATGTAATAATTACCTCGTTCTCAACCAACTTTGGACGATTACGACGGACCGTTTTCACGGCCTGGAAGACATCGACTTCACCATGTTGAACAACCTGTTCGATAGCGACATTTGCAGCGCAATAAACACCAACACGACTTCGTCCATTTCTGTGTTGAAAGAGTAAAAGAGTTAGAAAACTATTCGAATGGGCGATAACAATCAATGGAAAATATTTACGTTGAAATAACGCAAACGGGTCCATAGGTTGTCCTTTGTCTCCATCTTTCAACCATATTCATCATTTCGACTAAGGCATTGGTTGAGGACGGAACTTTGTGACCTTGAGGCCAACAAGTTATCTGAAAGAATTGAGTTGTTTTCGGTATTCCTTTAACACCGGACATTAATTCAGTTAAAGAAACAACTTTCTTGTTAATCCTGAAGATCCACGATTTAATGTTAGGATAATGATTAAAAGAAACTAAATCAACAGTAAAAACTGGACCAAATTTCCGTCTTTTCTCCTTCTCATTAGGCCAGAAAGTTGGATATGTCTGTTAAGAGAAAGAGGGAGACAGACAATTAGTTAATTGTCACTAGTCCAGAACTGATTAAACGTACATGAGTATCATCAGGATGTGATAAAACTATCACTGAATTACAGTCATGATCATAAATTAGAGACCAACAATCAGGTATCGTATGAGACAAGGGCCACTCTGTAACAATATACTCTCGTGATCGAGTATATCCCTATTAACGAGATGAAAAAACAACAACAACAACAACAACAATTAAACATAATCAATCAATAACCTCTCATGATAAATTGTCATCATCCTAATGAGTTGATGATGATGATGATTAAATTAAAGGTATAAGAAAATTATGATTGATTTAACAATTTTTCCTTTCTCTCCAATGAAAATCGTAACTTCTCAAGGAACCAATTTAACCTAATTGATTGGAACAATTTGTTTCCACTGACAACATGATTCAGTAATAACACCACGATAATAACACGCAACGATCAATGTAAATACAAATAATATCGTGAGCAATTGTTGATTGTTGAGAAAATGATGAACAAAAAAAAAGTGAATTGAGCAATAAAAAATTAGCTAAATTTGGTTATCATAATTGGTGATTATCTGTATCAATAACAAACATGATGAGAATGAGAATGATATTATTGATGATGAAAAATAATAATCATTTTATTCATTGTGTAAATATAAAATGGTTAACAAAAGATGATCATAATCCTAATCATCATACTGATATTAAATTGTTAATAAATTTCCGTTATAACTTAATTCTGGTTCACTGAGCTAATCATTAACCACTTTTATCCTGATCAAAATCAATAATATCATTTTTTTTTGTTATTCATTATCAATCACAATCACAAACCCATTGAGAGATTGACCAACATATCGATAATTAATGTTCAATAATATTTTCGATAAGCAATTAATTAATTGCCAATCAAATGTCACTCACATCGACAAATACTGCATTTAAATAATCGGTGCTGTCATTGCTTTGGAATGTTGTCAGATAAGGCCGATGATTGTCCGCTAGCAATTAAGGATTAAAAAGAGAAATGGACAATTAATATTGACTGATAATCAATCTTGAAACAATTAATTAATCAACTTACGAGGGATTATGGCAACATCTCGATTCTTAGCTCGATTCTCAATTCGATAGCCTCCAGCACAATCTCCTATTGTAAATTCTGGTGACATTTTGACGATTTTCTGAAACACAAGACAAACCATCATATTAATCACAATTTACCATCAATCAATTGATTAATTAATAACCACAATTACCTGGTATTCTCGTTGGTATTCATTAAAATTAGTTATTGTATCTTTAATTGATTTATATTTCATTTGTTGAGCCAATTCGGAAACAGGAAACCAAGTTTTACCACTTAGATAAGCCTCTTCCAAGAAACTGTAGATGAATTTATATTGATCCTGTTAATTGTGAAAACAGAATTAGATTAATTGTCAGAATAAATTGTCAACTAAACCCCAATCGATCATTATCACTAAATAATAACGGTGAAATTCACTGATTAATTATGCCAGAAATTGAGCCCATCCAGTGATCCAAAGTTGATATAATCATAATCTTACTCGTCTTACAATAAATCGTAAGGATGAAAGTTAATCAAAGTTAAATTAAAAAAGGATGAGGATGGAGATGAAGATGAAGATGATGATGATGATAATATGATGACAGAAAATTACATGTAATTCATTTTTACAATACAAGTTGACCTGAAAAAAAAGTTCTATACATTTTCCTCTTTTTATCATCATCATCTTGTTCATCATTTTACTCACTATTGATTACTCTTCATCCTTATCATCCAAAGAAATCATCTTAATGGATGAAAATGATGATAATCTATTATATGGTTTAACCAGTAACCTGCTGAGTATGTTTAATGTTATTTTTTGCAGCATTTGCCTCAATAAACATCAACACAGAACTCAAGCAAATTATCATTATCATCATAAAGCATTTCTATCATTGTAACAATAAGGATAAATTGTTTCATTGCAAATCGAACCTCTGATCTTTGAAAGTGGATCAATTGAAGTTGAGTTGAGTTGAGTTTTAATTTTAGACAATTTTTCAGTCGATCAACAATAATAGAAAAACTAAAGTAAGTAGTTTGTTCATTTTAAAGTTACGATTAATTGGACTAACCATTGCCTCGACCATTCCCTTTCGTGATTGTCTCATTTTCTTTGTGTAACCGAACACATCAAATGTATTATCTTCATCACAAAATTCGAGATTCGAGTCGATACAAAGGTAAGCTCCAGTTCGACCGCAGCCATCACTGTGAATAGAAAACAATTTACATGAGAGAAGTTTAATTTCGCAATACCATTAAAAAGTAATTAAGTTGCAATTTATTCAAATTGTTGCTGTTTTCTTTCAATTACCATCAACTGAAAATGTCACATTTAACTTATCAACATTCAATACATATTCCAAGTGTTGAATACTGAACTTTCTGATTCCTAATGTATCTTAATGATGATGATGGAATTGGAAAAGGTAGAAAAGTTGATGAAGATGATGAAGACGATTGCTAAAAGTGAATTAATTGACAGCTAAATTGTCATTTAATCTCTTAAAGTTACAATTAACGCGACAAACCCTAAAATCATTTACAAGTGATTAGAAAATGTATCATAATTGTTATCCCAATCAGATAAATTAATTGCTATTAATCGTCTAAGAATTTAAAGTGATTACAAGTGATCACTGTATTCTAATCATCTCGTCATTAAGCTAATTAAATTGTAAATGATTGAAAGAATCAAAATCGCTGCCCTAAGCTGAAAAGGAAAAAGTTTGCATTTTTGTTAACTTTTATTTCTTGATGACTTTTTCTTTTGCAACCTCATTTTCATCATCATCATCATCATCTCTTAACCAAGTGGATTCCAGGGCTAAAAGCCAACTAGAAATATCCTCTCAAGGTGAATCCACTCTACCATGTAACATTTCATATCTAATCCTTAAGAAAACTCATCTTTCATCATAGGACAAGTTCAAAAGTTTCATGGTAATCATTTTTTTCTCGAACTTTTTATCTTCCCTTCGTTCAGCACTTGAGATCGGACGAAGCAAAATCCAATCACCTGATCATATTATTTTCTATAAGTTTGATTGTTCCACTTTTTTTTTGATAACATGAGCGTTGATTAGTTAACTGAATGAGAAATTTACCTGCAATGAACTATCGTTGGACCGACAGTATTTTCTTTGGAAACTTCATTCATGTAGATTCGTATTCGTCGACGATATTGAAGAAGTGAATTGGTAAAAGGGCAACTGTGAGTGGGCCAATTATAGTAATGAAATTGATAGACTACTCTCTCCTCTAATTCATTGTCCAGATAATCATTTGTACCTTTACCCTCAGGGTCAAGAATCTCTTCGATATCATCTTCCTCTTCATCTATTCCCGATAATTTTTTCATCTTTTTATTTGTTTCACTTTTTAAACTAATATTAATATTGGATAAATTGTGAACCAAATTAGCCGATGATGTTGCTGGTGTTACACGTTTACTGGACAGATAATGGTCAGTAGCAGGTCGACGGATTCTTAAAGTTCTTATGGTAAAATCGGCTAGAGGTTCTTCCGTCAGAAGAGTGACCTCCATGGGGCCATACATTTCCGGCTTGTTCGTCTCAATGGGCCAATATTGACAGCACATTACTCGTATAAAATCAAATACTTTGGTTAACATCACAATTATATATGAATTTTGCTCCCAAACCATTCGCCAGAAATCACCGATTGTTTCCTCTTTTGGACCTTTCGAAAAATATTGGAAACTTTTAGTAACTCGAAATGATCACCACAAGCTCATTACCTTGTGTAGCGATATAAGCATTTGGTTTGATTATACTATCCATGTAAGAAGCATTAATATAATCAGAATGAGGCACATCGGGTAATAATTCTAGAACAACTCGATTATAATCATCTGAATTTCACCAAACAAATTCAATGTTTATACATGATAAAGAAATGATATTAGCAACAAATGATAATGTATAAAGAATATACAAAAACAAAAGGTTGAATCGATTGAATTGTTTCAACGAAAAAGAAACAATTTTCTTCAGGTCGATAATCATAATAATATTATTAATATAACTGTGAATGTTGTATCACAATTTATTATCATAATTATGAATAAATATCTTCTATTCAACATGATGTATTCATCTTAATGGTAATCAAGTTAATCAAACTCACATGGTAAAAGTTTCTTATTACAATTTTTGATTCCATTTTCTGGTTTCTGTCCATGTCTCATGCTATGGGATTCGCCTTTGGTGGCAACCTTCATGATAATGAGATGAATAGGATGAGAAAGTTACGAGAAAAAAATTCCATATTCAGAACATTAACCCTTTCGCCGATTCTCAGATCATTAGTTGATCATTGTAATTGAAATTATTGATTGACATATTGTAATGATGATTTCCAAGGAATTAGGTAAACATGAGGATGATATGATAATAATTGAAATAGTAATAATGATAATATGATGTTAGAAGGAGATGGAAGATAAATTTAGTCATTTTCTTGGGTGAAAAAAAAACAAGCCGAATAATTTAAATGGGATTAGGATTTGAACGTTGGAAAGATTAAGCTGATCATTTGTAAACATTGGAATTGGTTTTGATTATATTATAATAGTTTAAATTATTCTAAGGGATGATTAGTTTTACATGAATGGTGATTAAAATTGATCATCTTACCCCAAATTCATAGGATAATAAAGCTCGATATTTTTCAAACATTCGACGATGTTTTTGAAAAGACGAAAAGTCCATTGGTCCTTTGGGTAAAACTTTTTTTACTGTTTCCACATCGATCGGCATTAATCCGATGTTAATCATGTTCAATCGAAGTGAATTAACTTTTGTTGATTTACGTCTATGACTTGGATGACGATGATGGTGAATATTTTGTTGTTGTTGTTGTATTGGTGGTGGTTGTGATTGAGATGATGATGATGATTGTGTTGGTTGTGTTGGTTGATTATGATGGTGGTGATGGTGATGAGTGTGAGGATGAGGATGAGGATGAGAATGATGATTTGAATGAGTTGGATTGTCAGTTGATTGTTGTTGATCTAATGCTGGAGAAACAACATTTGGTGATACCTTGGAAGATGAATGAAACTTTGGTAAAATACATCCATAACTTTTAGATGACATTTTAAGCTCAAAAGAGTAGCCATTAGCTTAGTCCTTTTAAATTTGTTAACTTGATTGTGTCACATTCTGATAATTAGTTGATACACTTAATTCATTCAAATTGAAATATCATTTTAAACAGAGTTGAAGACAAACAAACAAAACGTAATACTAATGATGATGATGATGATGATATGGTGATGACGATAAAAGAGTGAGATTAAAATAGATTCTAATGGCAACAGTAAACTCTATGGATTATGTGTAACAATTGTAACAGTAAATTCTTGTTTAATTGTAAAATAATGATGTAAACACATATGAATGAAAATTCAGAGAGAGAGAGAGAGAGAGAGAGAGCAAGTAATTGATGGAAGATGAGAGAGTTAAGTTTAGAATGTGAAATGATCCGAGAATAAGAGAGAAACTTTTTCTTCTCGATATTCCAAAAAAACACCAATGGAAAGAATTTTATTCTTACTTTTTTCTCTTTCTTCTCTTTTAATTTTCATTTTTTCTTCTCTTCATCATCAGGTAAATCTCTCTTCTTTTGACTGTTCCTTTTTTCCTCCATGGAAGATGAAAAAATTCTGGCTCATCTCCAATTCACTAGTTTAGTTGAAATGGTAACAAAAGTTACTCAGGATCCATGGCGAATGGAAGAGAGGGAGACAGAAAGAGTGAGAGAAAATCTATTTTGGTAACTGGGTAGAGAGAAAGAAAAGAAAGAGAAAAAATAAGATGATGATAATCACTTTTTGTGGAACTTTATTTTCCTCTCTACAATTAACTAATCGACACTTATTGGGTTTTTCGTTCGTAAGATTATCATTCCCATCATCTAATTGGAATCAATTTACTTATCGCTTTTATCTATCATTTAATTTGACAATTATCTTCATTATTCTTACCTAATTGTTGACTTTCAAACTGTTGATTAACACTTAACAATTTGCGAATTAATATTTTTCCAATGATTAGTTGACTTGAAATTTTTTCTATTGCGATAATTTAATTTTTTTTCAACACGATTAACAAAAGGTTATCCGTAATTGCAAGGAAAACTGTTGATTGTTGGAATTATCTTAAAATGATAACAATAAGACACATTGTTATTGGGAATCATGATGATATATTAATGAGCAAATGATGAGGCAAACAATTTGTTTGATCAACACAGACTCCAAACAATTGAAATCAACAATCACAATCAATTACCATTGACGCCATCTGATGATATGATTAACAAACCATAATGAATAGAATTTATTTCCATTGTTAATTAGATTAGAACAAAAAACTTTCACTCATCAATAATTTAATAGGGTTGATTTCGGAAACAAAGTTTCCAATCGCAACCTTGACAAGTTAATTTATTTTCGATGGCAAATCAAATCAAATCAAATTTCAATCATTTGATTTATTTCAAATTCGAAGCGAGAGCCACCTGGTGGAGTAGAATAGAAATAACAGTTTATAAACACTTGACTTGAAGTCCTTGTCAATATTTCGCAATCAGAATTGTTTACTGTGGTTCTCTTTGGTATTAACCCGTGAAAATGTATCTTAATTTGGTGAAAAGTTGTTTACCTCGAGGTTTACTTGTTAACCGGTTCGCCTCATCATCTAATCAGGTCTTAGGTTATCATGATTATTCACCTGAACCCTGTTACCCGATCCCCAATCGGAGACCCAAAGTGTTGAGTGCAGATGAAGCGGTTTCTGTGGTTAAATCGGGAGATTCCGTTTTCATTCAAGGTGCCGCTGCCACTCCTCGTGGTTTAATTCCTGCTTTAGCTGAACATGGAAGGAAAAATGGTTTAAAAGATGTTAGAGTTCACCATATACACACCGAGGGTGAAGCTGAATACAATGCCCCAGATTTGTCTCAAGCTTTCCGATCCAACTCTCTGTTTACTGGAGCTAATTGTAGAAAACCAATTGCTGAAGGTCGTGCCGATTTTACTCCAATCTTTTTGGGTGAAATTCCAAAACTTTTCTTCCAAGGTATTATTAAACCCGATGTAAGCTTGGTACAAGTTAGTCCAGCTGATAAACATGGTAACCATTCATTAGGAACCTCGGTTGATTGTGTTAGAGCAGCTTTAATTCATTCTAAGTATATTATTGCTCAAGTTAACTCGAGAATGCCTCGTACTAATGGTGATGCCGTTATCCATGAGTCCCATTTCGATGCTGTTGTTCACTGTGATAAAGAACTGCCTGAACATAAAGCTAAACCTTTGACCGATATTGAGAAAATGATTGGTAAACATATTGCCGAGAATTTAGTTGAAAATGGAGCAACAATGCAAATGGGAATTGGAGCGATTCCCGATGCAGTTTTAGCTCTTTGTGGAAATCATAAAGATCTTGGTATTCATTCAGAGATGTTTTCTGATGGTGTTGTAGACTTGGTTGAAAGAGGAGTTATAACTAATCGGCTGAAAAATGTAGAACAAGGAAGAATCGTTGTTAGTTTCATTATCGGGTCTCGTCGTTTATTTGATTTCGTTGATGACAACCCATTCGTTACTATGAGAACCATTGACTATGTGAACAAGGAAGCAATAATTGCTCAGAATCCCAAGGTTACTGCAATCAATTCTTGTATTGAGGTTGATCTTTGTGGTCAAGTGTGTTCAGACTCAATTGGTACTCGAGTTTACTCTGGATTCGGTGGACAGGTTGATTTCTTGAGAGGAGCAGCTTTGGGATATGATGGAAAAGGAAAACCGATCTTAGCGATGCCATCGACAACCAAAAAGGGCGAAAGTAAAATTGTGCCATTCTTAAAACAAGGAGCCGGAGTTGTGACCACAAGAGCTCACGCTCATTATATTGTAACCGAACACGGGATCGCGTATCTGTTTGGTAAAACATTGAGACAAAGAGCCTACGAGTTGATCAAAATTTCTCATCCTGATCACAGAGAAAGTTTGGAAAAAGCAGCATTTGAACGACTTAAGTGTATGCCATCTAAGGATTAAAGTCTAACAGGTTAAAGTCCTACCTGTTGTTTAGATTTGATTAGAACATCAAAATAAAACTAATCTAAAAATCAAAAATAATTCCATGATTTTTTCCTCAAGCACAAATCAAATGACTAAAATCATAATAATAATTAATGAGTTATAATTGAGTAATAAGAGACAATAACGCTTGTTTGTTTTATCAATTAAATATCCAGAAAAATTTTTTAATAAAAAATTTTCATATCTATCAATTGGATTTGATAGACAAATATTAAGGGATAAACTTAATTATAAGTCATATATCTTGGAGTAGCACTAAATTTAGCATTATTTTTGATGACTTTGTTGATAGCTTCGAGGAAATCTTTCTCAGTGGCCACTTTACGCCTTGATCGGATCGCGAACATACCAGCCTCGGTACATACACTTCTAATTTCAGCTCCAGTGCTATTGGGACAAAGTCGAGCTAAAAGCTCAAATCTTATATCTCTTTCTACACTCATTGAACGAGCATGAATTTTAAATATGTGAGTTCGCCCCTGGAAGAAAAATGAAATAAAAGAAAAGATTTAGATTTAGATAAAAAAAGTTAGATTTAAAACTTAAAAGATTTTGCTTAACGCAAAATCGATACTCACTTCAAGATCAGGGAGACCGAATTCAACTTTACGATCTAGTCGACCAGGTCTCATTAAAGCGGGATCTAAAATATCTGGTCTGTTGGTGGCCATTAGAACTTTGATGTTACCACGAGGATCGAAACCGTCAAGTTGATTGATAAGTTCTAACATAGTTCTTTGAACTTCGTTATCACCACCGGCTCCATCATCGAAACGAGCTCCTCCAATTGCGTCAATTTCATCAAAGAAAATAAGACAAGCCTTTTTACTTCGAGCCATTTCAAAAAGTTCACGAACCATTCTTGCTCCCTAAATAAATGATGAAAAGTATTTTTAATATAGCAAAAAGATTAGTTAAAAAGCGTTATGGTCTAATCAACTTTAACTCTTTACCTCTCCCACGTATTTTTGAACCAACTCGGAACCAATTACTCTAATGAAACAAGCATCAGTACGATTAGCAACAGCTCGAGCACATAAAGTTTTACCGGTTCCTGGTGGGCCAAATAACAAAACACCTTTAGGTGGTTCAATACCTAATTTAACAAATCTTTCAGGCTGTTGATGAAAGAAAAAAAATCAAATAAATAGAAATTAGTTATTGTTGAATTATTAGAAGATGCATTTAGACTTACATGTAACAATGGAGTCTCAACGACTTCTCTGAGTTTCTCAATTTGTTCTTTACAACCACCGACATCACTATAAGTAACATCAGGTTTCTCTTCCACTTGCATCATTGTCACAGTGGGATCGATTTTGGGAGGTAAGGGAAGGTGAATCTGATATTTGTTTCTATCAACACCAACTCTCATACCTTCTTCAATATCTGCTGCAGCAACATTCTCAGCAAGATCTACCACAAATTTAGCAAACTGTTTGACATTAATAATATACTTTGGTTGATCAGAATCTGGATTAATGATCTTGGTACACCGAGCAACTTGTAAAGGTTGTTCATTTTGAAGAGTCTGTTTATCTGCAGCTAAATCCCAAAGCGCAGGAGGTGCAAGTCCAGTGTCTGATTCTTTAATTCCTGTAAGCTCATTAACTCGCTTTAAAATGGTTTGAATATCATCCTCAACTTTTTTAATGGCTCGGCTATATTGACCAGTTCCCTGTAGAAAACAAATAAGAACAACAAACAAATAGGTTAACCAAAAAAAAACCAATTTAAACCCACAAGTATTTAAACAAATATGAGATAAACCAACAAGTCATTACTTACATAAGTTTTAAGAAGCTGTATGTCCACTTCATCTAGAACTACATTTAGATAAAATAGAAAAATAAATGTCAAAGAGAATTTAAAAAAATGATTAAACTAAAAATGATCATCAACAACAACCGAATATCAACAAATACCTTTAATTTCTTTCTCTTTATCATCTTCATCCTTTTTCACTCGCCGTTGATCAGATCCAAGGTAATCCATTCTATTTAATTGCAGAAAAGAATCAAAACAAATCACTAATTAAACAAATTAAATAATTGACAGAATCAAATGAAAAGACAACAATTAATTAATCAAAACAAAATTAAACCTTTTGTTTGAAATTTTTGAAAATCATCACTCGCAAGGGACCACATAGAAATTGCGAAATCTATTGGCTATTTTCACTTCTCTGAATGAGTCGTGTGAATAGCTCATCACATTTTCAATGCTTACAAATTGTTTTGTTTACATTTTTCACAATTAAGATTGTTAATTAATCTAATCATTTTTTCTGCTGGTCAGTTTTAATTTTGTTTTGTTTTTTGTTTTTCTATTTCTTTACGTAATTTAAGTGAACAATGTTTAACAATACTCTTCGTCCTTTATTGATGAAATGTTATCGTCATTCAGGGTCATCACCATGTGGACCTTTTTTAAGCTCATATAATTTAAGTAAAACTTTTACTGGTCAAAGTGTAAAGAAAGGGCAACAATTAAATCCTGATATAATTGAAATTAAACGAGAATCTCTAGTTGAAGAATTCCTTCCAATTCCAACAAATGCTGAAAGAACAGTGGCCAAATTTCCTAAGTCAATTCAACCATATTTAAAGCTTATGAGGTTACATTCACCAACCGGTGGATTGTTACTCCTTTGGCCTGGTTATTTTGGTTTAGGTTTGTTTTAATTGTCTCTAATGATTTATTTCCATTGTCAGTTAATATCATTGATTAATTGTTCTTATTGTTATTGTTATTTCAGCTTTTGCAACTGATCCAATGAGGTATCCAAATCCAACCTATCTCGCTTTATTTGGCATAGGAACCATTTTAATGAGAGGAGTTGGATGCACAATCAATGACATTGTTGATCGTCATTATGATTTACATGTAAATAGGACAAAAAACCGGCCAATAGCCACCGGAGAGTTAAGTGTACCCAAAGCAGTTGCCTTCTTAGCCTTACAGTCCAGTTTAGCTTTGTCCATATTGATGAAATTTGATACAACGAGGTAAGAATTGGCTTGATCATCACCATCATCTTAAGAATTTGTCGTTTTCATAACTAATTTGATTATAATTGATTCTTGTCTACCTTTCAATATCTATCATTATCTTAGAAAGACATTTATTATTCCCTCAACGATTTACCATTTAATTGTTATTATAATAATTGAATGTTAAATTGTTTATTCATTTGATTCATCACATTTCTATTGTCTAATCATCATCATCATCATCATTCAGCCTAAAATTTTCCAATCATCGAAACCAAAACAACATTAGATACAATTAAGTTATGCTGATCAATTAACTCAATTATAAATAATGATAATCAAATTACTGATTCCACTATTTAATAATTACTAACCAATAAGATGTAAAATAAATATTTTACATCTTAATCAAAGATGACATTAGTTTAACAATCATATTTATCTCGATATCCTCAATATGATTATACCAAATGATAGGAATTGATCATAAACATTGATTAACACAAAATAATAGTTTCACTTTCAATAGTAAACATCAAATAACTAATCAACCAAAAGCAAAAAAAAATGAGTAAAAAAAGTTTCCTCATTGTCATGGTAATCAAATTAATTTCATTGGTAAATTAACTCACACCTTAATCAATCGATTTACTTGATTATAATAAAAACCCATTTTTTATAGTATTAAATGAGAAACATTACAAAAAAGAGCAAGATCAATTGTTAATCATTATAAAAACAAAACTTCGTGGAAATCATTGATCTAAACGATAACCCATCCAACTGATCTGCTCATGCATGAGGGAGATACAGGGAGATGATGATGATGATGATGATGATAATGATGATGATAGGGAAAATGGATAAATCAACTGGGGATTTCACCATAGCAACCAAACTGTAAATCTAAAAGTCCATTGACACCTAGACACAGTAACGATCCCCATAGACTATAACATTGTTAAATAGCCGCATCATTGATTCATCTTTTTCATCCTTATCATCATGTCTTCCTCTCTCTCTCTCTTCCTCTTGCTCTTTTACATTTATTACTACGATCGATGAAGATGAAGATCGTTGTGACCTACTCGTTGTTAGACATTTAATACAACAAAAAGATTCATTTTTTTCTACTTGATTTCGATATTATTTTCCCAATGTTATGTTTAAGCCTCTCCTTTTTTTCTACTTCTCCCATTTCCTATTCATATTTTATTCTTTCATTTTTTTTTCTTATTTATCATCTTCGTCTACTTCTTCCGGTAGAACCAGAAGATTTTTTAAGAAAAGTGATAAATTTTATCATATAAATAACAAACTCACTCTTTCACTAATCTGACCTATTTTTAATTTTCGATTCTAATCTTGTCACCTTATTCATTGTCAAATTTATTAATATTTATGGCGATACTTTGAAATTGTCCTTTTCCCCTACGTCATAATCATGATCCAAATATAATCAAGGTGTAAACATATGACCAAGATTAATTTCTCCATCTCTTTAGCATCCTCATCTCAACAACCACCTTGTACTCATCATTCAACCGCACCAACAACAAACTCAATTGAATCAATGTCCCTTTGAATGAGACAGTTTTCCCTTTTGCCTCAAACAATAATATTGAACATCCAAGTTATTACATTTCCTTTCGTTCAATTAAACTTTGTCTTTTTTTGTAACATTTCCTATTAACATAATTCAATCTAAATCACTGATTGGAAAAACCGATATTGTTGATTTAATTAGAATAATCAAATAATAACAATTCCAGTACTTTTATTAGTCAAAATAAGATAATGATTGATGATTGATAGAAATGTTTGCATTTCAATTACAACAATTGATTGAATTTTAATTTACTTTTATTTTATTTTTCTCAGTATTATTTTAGGTTTAAGTTCCGTTGGTCTTATTTGTATTTACCCATTTGCCAAGAAATTTACTTATTGGCCTCAACTTGTCCTTGGATTGACATTTAATTGGGGAGCTCTACTTGGATGGTCAGTAGTGACCAAAGGAAACATATTCCTACCTGGAGCAATCCCTCTCTACCTCGCTTGTATTTCCTGGACACTATTTTATGACACAATTTATGCTCATCAAGATAGAGTTAACGATTTATCCATCGGCCTCAAATCTACAGCAATTAAATTCGGTGAAAATACCAAGAATTGGCTACATGGTTTCCATGCAACCATGTTAACCAATTTGATCATCGCCGGACTCGCTACCGGACAAGTGTGGCCTTACTATTGCTCTCTTGGACTGGCCAGTTTTCGTCTGTTTTCCATCACTCGAACCCTCGATATCAATAATCCTCGTAATTGTGGGCAAAAGTTCGAAGACAATGTATTAATTGGTTATATTCTTTTCTGCGGAATTGGTTTGTCGACCATGATTAAAACTGATTCAACCAAAGAGGAGATGGTCGAAGATGATCTGAACATTAAATTGGAAGACGTTTTTGGAGATGAAGCTGAGAAAACAAATTAATCACTTCATTAAAAGTCCAAAGGTAATTAACCATTATAAGCATCGATCAAACCGAAACGCGAATTAGCGTGCTAATCAAGTAAACCGAATCAAATGAAATAAGTTGATTAAGAGACAAAAGAACAATAATTTTGCGAATGCTTTTTTTTATATATGCGTTTGTTACTCTGTTTTTTCAAATAACTTAGATTTCAATAAATAACATAAGATTTTGGAAATAGAGTGATAGATGGGGGGAGGAAGAAAATAAGAGGACAAGGGAGGTAGGGAGAGAGAAGATAAAATTAGGAGGAAGAGGAAATAGGAGATGATGAGAGAGAGAAGGTGTTTTAAAAATCTTATATATAAATAGCTTAAAGATGCTTATGTTTTCCTAAGTATTTTGTATCTTAATTTTCAATCTCTGGTTGCTTTTTTTTTCGTTATTTGTAAAATTTTTTTTTTCATTTAATTTAATAATATTATCAATTAATTAATAGTAATTATAATAATAGTAATAATCATAATAATCAACAGACAAACAAATGAAACAAACAGGTAAGATATACACACACACATGTGAAAGGTTGTTGATGTTGTTGGTGTTTCGTTTGAAGTTGTAAAAAGTTTTGTTTTAACAATAAGAGTGAGAAAAAAAAATTGAGAAAAAGTTACAATTTAAATCAACGATAAAAATCATTTGGTAACTAAATATATGATTGAAATCTATTGATTATAAATTATTCTTAATCATTGTTAGTTAAGTTGTAATTTCTTATTTTGGCTTCAATTGTTGTTAAATGTTAATTGTTTCAACCGGTTTAATGTGCTGATGTATTTTTGTATATTGTGTTTGTTGATGTTTGTCAATTAAAAGGTTTGTAAAGTTGAGGAAGAGGAAATGGGAAGAAGAAGAGAAAAAAAAGTAAGGAAGAAGAAGAAGAAGATGATGAAGATGATGAAGCTGAGGAAGAAGAGGAAGTAGAAAGTGGGAGGAAGGAGAGAGCAAAAAAAGATGATTTAAGATACAAAATACTTAGGAAAACAGTTCTTTATATAACGCAGGGAATTGAACATCTATGGATGATTTCAGGCAAGTTTGGGTGAAATTAACCAGCGCATCCATGTGGAGCTTATTTAACATCGTCAATTCTTGTGTCTTGGCTGTTAAATCGGGCATAATCGAATCATGTTGATTCTCCTTTAATAACATTCTTAATGCTTCTTTCAGGTTCTTGTTCATCTGTGAAATACGATGTATACTACCAAGACCAGGACGTTCTGGTGAACAGTTTCGAGGATTTTGGTTCGTTTGTTTTGTTTTTTCCAACGATCGATTAACGGCCATTTCATTTATCGAAAGGCACATGTACATTATGTAGATTTGAACGATTTTATTGTGAAAGCAAATTTGTTTTGGTTGTTTTGGTTAATCCAGTTTGATGATTGAGACACAATTTAATGAACACATTAAACACATTTTGATGATTTATTTTGTTTGTTTACACACAATAGTTGCGATGATAATAATATTCCAGGTTGATTAAGGTTTGGTTAATTGTTGATTGTTTTCCCATCCAAATTTGGTTGATCATCATGTTGATGGTTCATTTAATTTGACAGTTATGGTGATGATGATTGGAATCAATTTGATTGTTGTTAAACACACATGATACGGAAGAAAAAGAAAAGAAAATACAAAATCATTAAATCAAGTGCAATGATTGATTAATTATCAAGATAATTAGTAGGAGAGGTTAAAAAGTAAAGGGTTACAATTAGATAGTAATCAAAATTTGATTGTTTTTGATTATCATGCAATCAAAAAAAAAAATAATAGTCAATGTTAATCATTAACAAAATGCAATCATTTTTATCAATAGAAATTGGTAAGTAAAAGTTAATCGAATGATTTACTAATTGCTGTTGTTGTTTTTGCTTGTGGTGATTAACAGAATTAATTGTTTTATTAACGAAAGGATTACCTGGAGATAATAAAGTAAAGGCTGAGAATAAAGCTAATTCTTCTTCACGTAATTCCATTGAGGCGATCGATTCAGCTAAATTAAAAGCCTTTGTTACCAAACGATTTTCAATATTATCATCGGTAAGAAAATCTTGTACCGACATTGAACGATTGTTAAAAATGACCCGACCCGTGTTGAGGTCATAACATCGGCTAATCTGGAGGCAGCAAAGCTCAAACGAACCAGTCTTAAGAAGGATTATCTTATCATCTTGAGGCAGATTATGAAAATTGGGAATCCATTTAGCAAATTCGATAACTCGACGTATCACTTCGGTCAATTTATTAGCACATTTAAACCATTTCTCTTCGTGTTTCAATTTCTTAAAATCGACGATATCTTCATCCATATCCCAAGAGATACCAATCTCTTCAGAGGTAAAGGAACACCCGTTAGCATTCCGATAGGCATTTGAGATTATTTGTATCACTTTATCCAATTCAAGGGAGATTAACGGTTTCTCTAAATCAATAATAAGTCCATTATTATTTAACGGTGAACTATCGGGCACTACATCAAGGCAAGGTTTCTGATCGGTGAAAGTTGTTGAATCAGCATATGAATCATTTGCTGTACCATTATTATTAGAACCTATTCCCCCACCTCCATTATTATTATTGGAACCATTATTTGACCCATTAAGACCTGTACCTCCACCAGTAGATCCTGGTCCACCATTACCACTACCGGTAGTTGAAGGTCCACCTCCGGCTGAACCAACTAAATCAAGTCCAACCATGTTGGGTGTATAATAACCATTGGATAATGTGTGATCACCATAAGGTGAATTCATTGTTGTCTGATAATGATAAACGCCATTTGATGTGAAAGGACTAACGATGGGCTGAGGATTTGAGGAGGAAGAGGTTGGCTGTTGGGGAGGTTGTTGATCAAACACTGATGAATCGGGTGATGGTTCAGCGGTTTGATATGATTGGGTTGGTGTATTTGAAGATGGCATTGAATGAGATGATGCTTGATGACCTGGACCTATTGTTGACCCTGGCCCATTACCACCGCCACCAGAACCTGGTCCTCCTCCACCACTTCCTGGTGTTCGGACCATTTGTGCTTGATGGAATCGAACCTCATCTTCAACTTTTTCTCTCTGTTTTTTGGACATTCGACCAAATTTAACTGCATCTCTTGACATTCCAAGGTTAAGACATTTTTTAAGACGACAGTATTGACAACGATTACGATTAATACGATCAACGACACAATTTTTCTGCCTTGGACATTGGTAATTAACGGATGATGATTGACTGCGACGGAAAAAACCTTTACAACCCTCACACGTTATTACACCATAATGAACTCCGGATGATTTATCACCGCAAACTTTACATGGGATTATCTCAATTTGGGCTAAAAAGGATTAAAACCAAGATAGTAATAATAATAATCATCATCATCATCATCCAAGACGAAGAAGAAGGAAGAAGAAAAAGAGAGAGAAAAAGAAAGAAAATAATGGTTATGATAATCATAATAATAACGTTTAGTGTCAGAACGTGCCATTAGGTTGTTTATATGATTATTCAAGAAGAGAAGCCGAATCATCATTATTATCACCAACATAATCATCATCATCTTTTCATACATAAAATCAGGTTTAGCTTGGGTTGAGTTGAGTTCAGCACGTCACGAGTGCGTGAGTAAATTGGAAGAGAAAAGAAAGAAAATAATGGTTATGATAATCATAATAATAACGTTTAGTGTCAGAACGTGCCATTAGGTTGTTTATATGATTATTCAAGAAGAGAAGCCGAATCATCATTATTATCACCAACATAATCATCATCATCTTTTCATACATAAAATCAGGTTTAGCTTGGGTTGAGTTGAGTTCAGCACGTCACGAGTGCGTGAGTAAATTGGAAGAGAAAAAGAAAGAGAAGACAAGGAAGATAGAGAGAGAGAGAGAGAGAGAGAGAGAGAGAGAGAGAGAGAGAGAGAGAGAGTTTTCCCAATCATGATGTTTATTCAAAGGGATGCAGGAAGTTGATGTGGGTGGTTGAATCAGGGAAAAAAGATGAAATTTCAACCGGAAATAAGGCCATTGGGTAACTAAAAAGAGAGTCAACATTTAAAGGGGTTTAGAACGAGAAATAAGAGGGAAGAAAGAGAGATAGACAGTAAAGAAGAGAGAGAGAGAGAGAGAAGTCATTCAGCATTATTATTACTATTATTATTGATAATGATGATGATGGAAGAGAGAGGATAAGGAAAGAGAAAGAATCTTAAAAAAGCAGGATGAGAATAAAGTAGGAAGAAGAAGCTGAAACTGAAAAAAGAAGATGGAACAAAGAATTGGTAAGAAATGATAAGAAAAAGATGATTTCCGTGCCAAGACAATTATTATATTACTTTTTTCTTCTTGAAAATAAATTGTTTTATAATTCAAAGTTTGATTAGCGATCATCATCTTAAATTATCATCATCATCTTTTACTTCATCCGGAAGATGAACGAAATCAATTTCCGTTGAAGGTGACCGATACTAGAATCATGATGATATGAAATAAACTCTATGGTAGAAAAGTAAAGGCAATAACATGTAAGATGGAGATGAAAGGGGAAAAGATAGAAGCTAAAGTACGAACACATAAGATGATGATGAGGATGAAGTAATAATAATATGTTCTGGTGGAAGAAGTAAGTTCGTAGTTCGAGTTTGCGTCTGAATTTCCAACGATTTTTTGGAAAAGAATGAGAAAGATATGATGAAATGAAAGGGGAAAATGATCATGATCATCATGAAAAGATCATCAGACCCAAAGAAAGAGAGAATAATAAAATGAAAGAAACCTAAAAAGAGAAGATGAAGAAGAAAAAGGAACGAAGAGAAAAAAAAAGAGAGACAGAGTGAGAGAGAAAGAAAGAGAGGGAGAAAGTAAAAGAAGACAACGAACATGTAAACATAGCGAAGAAAATTGTAAGCAAAAAAGACAGAGAGAGAGAGAGAGAGACGAAGAGAAAGAGAGAGAAAAGAAAAATTCGAATGACTAACAATTATCATGAAATTAAAATCGTTCAGATGGTTAATGATAACATTAGAATCTGATTGTTAATTGTCATTAATTGTGGAATCATAATTATCCATAGAAATCAATCAATGGGGAAAAATAGTATCTCTTTTTTGTATAATAATATAAAATGATTGATACTAAAAAAGAAAGAAGGAAAATATCAAAATAGAAAGACTGATAGAAAGAGGAAGATAAAGTGAGTGAGAAAGAGAGAGAGAGAGATGGTGATGAGGGGTGGGAGTGAGAGACTGAGCAGAGTCAGAGTGATGATGATGAGGATGACGAGGTCATTGCACTTATATAGGTTGACCCAGTTGTAGGAGAGTTTAAACACGGAAGAAAAACCCGGAAGAAGATGAAGACTTAACATTTACTCTGATCCAAGTAACACTATTGACCATATATAAGTTTTTTTACCGTTTTTTTTGCCTTCTACTTAACGATTTATCTAATTGTCATTTTTTTTTTCTTTTCTTTATTATTATTTTGATTAACAATATTATTATTTTTCTGGTAACAATTAACTAATTGGTTAGAGAAATTTACACAAAAACAAAACGATTAACATTTTGCATCAATGGAAAACTTAATTAACAGAAAATCTGAGAATCTGAACCAGAATTTGTATCGAATCTTTTTTTTTCAGCTTTTGTTTTGATATTTTAGTTTTTTTTTTCTTTCTAAATCAAATCTGATAATCTGAATGATGATTAAGTTGTTTTGCTTTTTATTTTTGCTATTTAATTGCTTGATGATTTGATTATGATAATGATGATGATGATTAGATTTTTCTTCTGTAATAATGATATTATTAATGCCAATGGACTTGGTGCTTTAATTGTTATCATTATATTGAAATTTTCGTATTTTTTTTTCGGGATAATCAGTGAGACTGATTACTGATTTTACTAATTGCATTTGGGTTGGGAAAAATTAACGATCAATTGTTGATTAGTTCTTACCTTTAATTGAGCCACTGTGAGGCGATTCTATTTTAGAGTAATTCCCAAACATTGAAATTAATTGTTCTAACTAATTGTTCACTGATTTAATTGTGATGGAAACAAAATGTTGGTTTAAACACTCACACACAGATGAGGTGACACTTTACAATTAAACCAGAAGGATGTGAGAATCCAATTAAACAATTAACAGCACAGAACACAATTTAGTTGTTGATTATGATGATGAATGAATGAATCAAGTGTATTTATGATTAATTAATAAAAACGGAAGAAAACAAAACAAAACAAAAATCGAGAATCGAAAAAATTTTTCAAGAAAAAATTATTTCGCGTTTCGTTGTAGTAACAATTTACAAATTGTTGTTGTTGATGTTTAAGTTAATGATGTTGATTGTGATAATATTATTGTTGGTGAGGTTGGTGTTGGTGGTGTGGTTGTTGTTATTGTTGATGGTGATGGTGATGAGGATGATGGTGTAATTATTGTTGATGAAGATGATGAAGTTATCGTTGGTGAATTTGTTTCTGGTAACATAAAAATAAAAAGAATCAGTGATAATAATAATAATAATAATCAAATTTGATTGTTGATTAAATTAAAATTGTTGTTGATGTTGATACTTCTTGGTTTGTTGTTGTCGATGATGAAGATGAAGATGATGAGGATGAGGATGATGAAGATGAAAGGTGAAAAATCAAAGGCAACGGTGTGTATGTGTTTGTGTGTTTGTTTGTTGACCAGAGAGAGAAAGAGAGAGAGAGAGAGGAGAAGGAAGAGAAAAAAAAAGAAAGAAGATGATAAGTAACTTTAAAAAGAAAGAAGATAAAGATGAGGAGGATGATGAAGATGAGGAGGACTACGTATTCGTCGTCGTGGTCGTCGTTCTCGAAGGAGAGGTAACTTGATGTTGTTGGTGGTTTTGGTTGTGCAGAGAAGAGGTAGAAGAAGTTGTATTAGAAGAAGATGATGATGATGATAAAGGTAAGAAAGAGAAAAGAGAGAGAAGAGAGAAAAGAAAGAGAAAAATGTACGAACGTTTCATTTAAAAAAAGAAAGAAGATGATGAGAAAAAAAAGAGAGAAGAAGATAAAAGAGAGAATCTAATCCATAGTTTATTTTTAAGTTCGTTGTATTGAAGCCCAACATTAAATGAAGAGAGAAGAGAAAGAGAAAATTTTGTAAGCGAAGAGAGAGAAAGAAAAAAGGAAGACGAAAAGAAGGAAGATAGAGAAGACAGAAAAAGAAAGAGGATGAGATAGGGTGAAGAGAGAGAGAGAGAGAGAGAGAGAGAGAGAAAGACTCAATTCATACTATGTATTAGAGATGAAACTTGTGAGTATGTGAGTGAGAAGGATGAAGATGGTGAAGATGAGAATGATGAGGGAGAGAAGGGGGTGGGGTATGTAATGAATGAATAAAGAGAGAGAAAGAGAAAGAGAAAAAGTAAGAGAGAGGTGATGATAAAGGGGAGGAAAGAGAGGGATTCATTGAAATGGGGTGGAGTTGACCTGAATAGTGGTTAGTGTCAAGGTATTTTTTTGTGGCTGGTACTTTTTGGTACCGACGGTAATCTCTCTCTCTCTCTCTCTCTCTCTCTCTCTCTCTCTCTCTCTTTATCTTCTCTTTCTTTTTACCATCTTTCCGTCTTTCCTCTCCATCATCTTCTCTTTCCATCATCTTAGGCCAGGTAAGTTCCGTGATCGTAGCTTCTTAATATTATTATTATTGTTGTTTGTTATTACTGTTACTGTTTAAATGGTGATGATGATGTTGAGATGTTGTTACTGCTCTTATAATGTGCTATGTGTGCTTGTGTGTTTGGTACCAAGTACAAACTCTCACAAAAAATATGCAACTTCTCAGGTCAAATCCACCCCATCCGTTCATCATCTTTTTTCTCTCTATCATCATCTTCATCTTCTTCTACATCTTCTCCTTTTCTTCCTTCTTTTTATGCTCTTTTTGTTCCTTTATCCTTCTTCTTCTTTTCTCTTTCCTTTTGTATTTATTTTCGCACTCGTACTATCTTCTTCTTCTTCCTTGTCTCTCTTTCTCTCTTCGGTCTTTTCATCTTTTACTCTCGAAGGGTTTTCTCTTAATCATCATCACCCTTGTCTCCCTCTCCTTCTCCTTTTCATCCTTATCTTCTCTCTCGTTCTCATCCTTCTTGTCCTTTAACTTGACTAAAACCTCCAAAGGATTTCCGTGTTTCCTTACCATCTTAACGGAGGTCACAGTCCTTTCGAGGTCACAGGCCTTTGTAATATTTTCTTACCCATTCAACAGAGAGAGAGAGAGAGAGAGAGAGAGAGAGAGAGAGAGAGAGAGAGAAATGATGATAAAAGAAGAAGGAGTAAGGTAACAGGAAGAAGAAGAAGAAAACTTGGGACACACCGGGAAGATAAATTCGCAAGGAGAAAGAAAAAAAGGTGAACAAGGTGAAGAGAAAAAAATAATCTTGAGAATTGCGATTAACCGGTAAAAATCTAATATTATTTATTATAAAAATCGAAATTCACCTGGAACCAAAGGTAATAAGAAAATGAGTTAAAATTTCGAATAATAAATTCGAACGGGAAAAAGTTAAACTTCCATTAGATCGACATTTAAATTTGGATTATGACAATTTGACTCTTATATTTTCCATCTTTATCTTCATCATTTCCATCTTATTGTTATTTTACTTCTTTCAGTTGATTGTTCATGTTGATTGTTGGATTAATACACTTTTTTATTAAGGAAATTGAGTGAACCTTTTCCATTACAATCAAATATAAGATCGATTCTAATGGAAGAGAGAGAAAAAACTTCTCAATAGGAAGTTGAATTTCTAATGTGCCAATGGTTTACCATGCAAATCGTTTCGATATTGAGCTTTTTATTTATATCTTTAAATGGTTAACAATACAATTGATAAATTGTCAGTTAATTGCTGTTAATTCAATGCAAAAATCGTAAAACTCATTATGTTGATTGGTGTAAAACTTTTCAATTGAGCTTAATTTTGTTTTCTTTTACAAGTATTATCGCCAGTAACGATTAACTGATTGATAGCTAATCGTTTTTGTTAATTGATTATTTTGCAAATCATTGTTGTTTAAGTTAATTTGGTTGATTATTATAAAAATACCCAACGAACGGAATTGAAATGAAACTTGTTTAGTTCATGTTGATATCGTTCTGATGTTTGAGCTAATTATCTTTGCATGATCTGAAATCAAAATGGTTCAATACAATCAACAGTAGTGTTACCCTCTTACAAATTCATTGATTGTTTTAATTGTTGCTGTTTTGAGTGATTAAAGATACGATTTAATTGTTTCTATTATGTTGCCATCTAATAATCAGAAAATGATTTAGATTCATCAAAAATTTTTTCTCTTCCCCTTTCTGCTTGATTATAAACTTAACTCGTTCTTATTGATTGTTAGTTAGTTGATTGTTCTGGTTTGATGATGAAAAGTAAACACTTTTTATATAAAGACTTGGGTGTAACTCTTTGGGTCATTGAGAAGGAAGAGTTTCCAATGAATGAGTTGATTAAAGTTCAAGTTGAGGCCAAGAAACAGGAAAAACGGAGTCACATTGGGTCAGTGTTTGGTCAGTTGATGGATTCCAAGTACAAATAAACTAGCTCAAGGTTAAAGTCAAGGTTTAGGACAATCTATCCAATAGATTTAAACTCTTCATTTAATGATTTTCGTATTCATAAGATTATCAAATTGATTGTTGCTCAATATCTAATAACTTGAGGTACTGAAATTAATTTACCAACGGTTTAGTCAGAGGATTGAACATTTAGCTCTCTACCGTCAAAAGTACTGAGAGTGGATTAGGTGGAAAAAGCTTTTGATGTCCATAGGTAAAGAATATTTGGAAAGTGTTTGTTAAAATTAAAGACAATAAATTGTCTGAATTAATGGGAACGCGAAGAAAAAAAAAGATGAAATTTATCAAATAAAAGTCGATTAAATTATCGATTTTTAGTCAAATAAAAGTTATATTATTGTCGGTGGATTCGGTTTGGAATTAGCATCTTGATTGGTTAGTAAAGATGCTTGTCGATGGTCATCTGGTCCTTGATTCTCGATTAGAACCTAAATCGTCTTTCAATTATTGTCTTTGGACCAATTAGAGTCATTTGGTGCTAATTTCATCATATCGACACACGATTTAACTAATAAAAAAGATTTTGTTGTTTCCTTTTCACGAATCCCTTTCACCTTATCCAATCGGTGGATCCAATATCCAATCCAATCCAATATGCAGACAAACACTTTGAATTTGAACCCATTTTTGAACCATTCACACAATCAATGATAATCAGATAGCTTTTGATGGTTAATTAGATGACCATTTTAAGAGATTTCGTCGTTTAAATGAGAGGGAATTTCTTATTATCATATCTTTGGATTAACATAATCTCTCATTGATTATCTCTACCTGCGTGAATGATTTAAAAAAGGTTGCAAACTCAAAATCTTTGGCTATATAATTGTGCTCTTGTTTTGTTTTATGATTTATTGACCGATCAAAATGTTGAAATAACAAAGATTCAAGCTAAATTAACTCGACCGTTGGCTTCAGTTGATTGTAATTATTTTGTCGTCTTCTTGTCAGTACCTTGTGGACAAGGTAAACCAGGTCAATTTATCCATGGGTTAGCCAATTCTTATATGGAATCGATTTGTCAAGAGAGATTCAAACATGGATATCATGGACTAGCGATTCGATGGGGATACATTGGTGAATTTGTTGTTGAAAAATTGGGCATTAAAATTGATTCAGTTCGTGGTACAGAACCTCAAGATTATGCTTTTGATGTGAACTTTACGGTTATAACTTTAGTATTGCCATCTATCAACGAGAATAGTTATCAATGTAACCAGATTTGTCTTTTTTCTGGTTAACCATCAACAGGATATTCATATTCTGGAGTTTCAACATGATAAGAACCCGTTCTTACCGTTACCTGATTTGGAATTAGATAGGAAGACAGACCCACAGTGTTACCTACAATTTAGGTCATTGAGAAGGAAGAGTTTCCAATGAATGAGTTGATTAAAGTTCAAGTTGAGGCCAAGAAACAGGAAAAACGGAGTCACATTGGGTCAGTGTTTGGTCAGTTGATGGATTCCAAGTACAAATAAACTGGCTCAAGGTTAAAGTCAAGGATTAAAATTAACAATCAACTCTACAAGAGACCTCATAAGCCAAAATGTTTCTAATCACGCTCATTAATTGTTGGCTTAACTACCTCATTTACTAATGATATCTATGGATTATTCCAGATTAATTTACTTACTCTACTGTTGATTTAAGGTAATCAAATAATAACGATTTCAGTACTTTTATTAGTCAAAATAAGATGATGATTGATGATTGATTGAATTTTAATTTACTTTTTCTTTTATTTCTCTCAGTATTATTTTAGGTTTAAGTTCCGTTGGTCTTATTTGTATTTACCCGTTTGCCAAGAAATTTACTTATTGGCCTCAACTTGTCCTTGGATTGACATTTAATTGGGGAGCTCTACTTGGATGGTCAGTAGTGACCAAAGGAAACATATTCCTACCTGGAGCAATCCCTCTCTACCTCGCTTGTATTTCCTGGACACTATTTTATGACACAATTTATGCTCATCAAGATAGAGTTAACGATTTATCCATCGGCCTCAAATCTACAGCAATCAAATTTGGTGAAAATACCAAGAATTGGCTACATGGTTTCCATGCAACCATGTTAACCAATTTGATCATCGCCGGACTCGCTACCGGACAAGTGTGGCCTTACTATTGCTCTCTTGGACTGGCCAGTTTTCGTCTGTTTTCCATCACTCGAACCCTCGATATCAATAATCCTCGTAATTGTGGGCAAAAGTTCGAAGACAATGTATTAATTGGTTATATTCTTTTCTGCGGAATTGGTTTGTCGACCATGATTAAAACTGATTCAACCAAAGAGGAGATGGTCGAAGATGATCTGAACATTAAATTGGAAGACGTTTTTGGAGATGAAGCTGAGAAAACAAATTAATCACTTTATTAAAAGTCCAAAGGTAATTAACCATTATAAGCATCGATCAAACCGAAACGCGAATTAGCGTGTTAATCAAGTAAACCGAATCAAATGAAATAAGTTGATTAAGAGACAAAAGAACAATAATTTTGCGAATGCTTTTTTTTATATATGCGTTTGTTACTCTGTTCTTTTCTGCGGAATCGGTTTATCAATATTAAAGAATGAAATACAAAAGTGAAAAGAAATTAATTCAACATCAACCATTTAGAAACAAATTTGATGATTAGCATTTGATTAGCTCTCGTTTATATCATTCTTTATATTATAATAGTATTTATGTTTCGATTAATCTACATACTGTATAAGTACATGTTGTATTAATCCTGGATCATTGTATGAGAAGGACAATTAACCAAATGGATATCGAGTGAATTTATCAATCAGTATTGATCTATGAATACATTTACTGTTGATCGTTTAACGCCATTGAACCATAATCTGCATACATTTAAATAGTTAAATATCATCATTTTCATAAATTGTAGTTTAATTTTGTAATGTTAAATTGTTCATAAATAAAGAGCGCAAGTGTAAATTGCTACGGTTGACAAATGAAAGATTTTCATTGCATTCACAATGAACGGATGATATTTAAAACAATCAATTTATTACAAAATGAAATTAAACTTAACAATTGGAATATTCAATGTAAGTGTATAATTTAATTTGATTATCTCGATTGCAAGTAATTAATTAAATTAATCATTAGATTCCTGGAGTTGGGATGTTCGAGGAAGACGATGATGGAAATATAATTCCTCAAGTTGATTCGGTGAAAAAATTTTTAGATTTAATAACAATTTATGCAAACCTAAAGTGAGTATTTACTCTGTTATGTTGATTAACTCTAATTGTGTCTAAATGTTCAACAATTAGCGGTATTTTAATTGAGGCTCCGACGGGACAATTTGGTAGCATTGAAAATGGTACTTATAAAGATGGCATGTTGGGATTATTACAGAATCAGGTAAATAATTAACATCAAGATAATCAATTGGCCCACTAATTGTTCAACTTGATTAAAGGAGGTAGATTTCGGTTGGCTTCCGGTCCTACTTGACACCCAGGTCTACTGGGCTGGTTTACGGCCGTTGTTTCAGAGGAAAAATTTTATCTACACAGTTTTCCTCGAACTGGATCGACAATCAATCAAAATGTTAGCGAAAGTTTTCACTTTTTTACCCTAACAACTTGGCTAATCATCTTAATTGTAATTTATTTTCTCGAATTTATTTCAACTTACAAAAATTTGTCTAATCGCCTTGGTAAACATTTGATTAGCTCAGTGGTACAATTACCATCAACGATATTTCACCAGTATATTACTTATCGATCAATCTTTCGACTATCACAATTAATTTTAATTGCGATTTTCACGAGTATTTTTACTGCCTCTTTTAGCACTGGTACGATTTCTGGTACAGGAGATATTCGGGTAAATACCCTGAGAGAAATCGTGGATTATGATAAAACGCCAATTTTCTTTGAAGGTATCTCAATGTTTGACCTTTTTGAACGTAAAGTGACCAAGGAATACGCGGATGTGTATAAATTAGCAGAATCAAAGGGAACGGCAAAAGCTTTTGGTATTGGTGTTGAGACAAAATATCGCGAATATTCATCAGATGTTGTGGCCATTTTGTCGGATAAGGCTGGTAAAATTGGTAATCCAATAGATGGGACTGACCATCCAGCGGCTAAATACTCGTACTGGTCCGAGAAACCTTTTTATCGAGCATCAAGTGGATTCATTATGAATCCAAAGCGAAATATCAACCAAATAAAGAGAAGATTAAATTCAGTGTGAGTATCAATTGAATGGTTACTTTGGGTGATTAGCTAATTGTTTTCACTTCTCTTCCAATAGAACCTCTAAATTGTTACAATCATCATTGACTGATTTTCTTTTTGTTAAAATTGTCCGAGAATTAGTTCAACGAATACCATTTATCAGCATAACTGATTTCCAGTTAAGTAAACGCACTTATCCAATCAATAAGATTCAAATTAAATACACACCGTTTGGATTCAGTGGATTAAAATTTGTAGTTAAAATTTTGATCATACTGATTTTAATCACTTGTATCATTTTCTTAATTGAATTAAGTACTGGTAAAACAAAGCATTGTAAATCATTTTCTAGTTCAAAATGAAAATTAAACAGTAATTCAATTCAATTGGCTTTAATATTCAAAATTTTCTATTCCACTTTTCGGTTGAATATAAACGTTATTATTGATTGTTAGTTAGTTGATTGTTCTGGTTTGATGATGAAAAGTAAACACTTTTCATATAAAGACTTGGGTGTAACTCTTTGGGTCATTGAGAAGGAAGAGTTTCCAATGAATGAGTTGATTAAAGTTCAAGTTGAGGCCAAGAAACGGGAAAAACGGAGTCACATTGGGTCAGTGTTTGGTCAGTTGATGGATTCCAAGTACAAATAAACTGGCTCAAGGTTAAAGTCAAGGTTTAGGACAATCTATTCAATAGATTTGAACTCTTCATTTAATGCTTTTCGTATCCATAAGATTATCAAATATCATATTGAGCAATAGTCTAAATGCTAATAATAGTCTAACTTTTTGATAATTTAGCTAATTCCTTATTTCGCTTATCTAGTTAATTATTTTATCACGATTAATACACATTAATTTACTCCCTTTTTACAGCTAAAGCCACCGTTGATTGTTATGTTTCAATTTGTCAGCTTTTGATTCACTCTAATTTTCTAAATAGTTGTTGATCAAATTATTGATAATAAATGGACTTGTTGAATGACTTGACTTCATCTACTGGTGATAATCCTTTAATTGTGTTTGACTGTGACTCTGTGAACCCATTGGATCAATTGAAATCTTCGAGTGATCGTAAGGAAACTGGAGATTCAAAGCCTAAGAGTAGAAATGGAGATAAATTGGAATTGAAACATTTTCATGATCAAACATTAGCTCAAGATTATGTTTGTAAAATTTGTCAATTTATGGTCGTTGATCCAAGGGAACACAATGTAATTGGATCGACATTTACCTGTGCATCGTTATTTTGTTACAATTGTATTTGTAATTGGATTAAATCGGGTAAAAGTTACTGTCCATCTCCAGGATGTTTGACTATTGGATTTGAGGAATCAGCTTTTCGGGAGATTGGTGCTCGAGATGTAGCTCGATTATCGGGACTGATGATGAACTGTCCTTTCTCGTGTGGATTAAAACTCACTTATTCTGATTATACTTTCCTATCTCATCGGAATCAATGTCCATCTAATCCAGAAAATATGTGTAAGATTTGCAAGTCACCGAAACTGGACTCTGGCGGTGGACATGATTGCAGAATCGTTTTCAATGAGATGAGACAGAAAATAGACTCATTGAACATCAAAGTCTCTAAGCTGAATGGTGTGATAGATCAGTTACGAAGCGAATTGGCCACAGCCAAAAAAGAAGAAACTAAGACGAAGAATGGACCATCCGGAATCAAAAAGGAAGCCATTGGTAAAGACAAAAAAGGAGTGAATGACCAGAAAGGAAAAGACAATCAACCGATAGCAAGCAAAACTGACGCTAAAATAAATAAAAGAGACCTGAAAAGTCTAAAAATTACCACAGAAAAGCAAAATTCATCGAAAGAAAAACAATTAATTAGTGAAACTAAATCAGGAGATAAAGATGGTGGTCAAGCAAAAGAATCAAATAAAATATCAATCAATTTCTACTCCAATAGTTATTATCCGCTTGGTACATTCGGTTCTTTTTCTGGTATTAATTTGGTTTTCCATTATGGTAAAAGATCAATTAATTTCTATGATGTTGCATCTACTTCCACCGTGCGAGATTTTCGACGTTGTATCACCACCATAATAGGTCACGATCCTGGTCTCATGTTGTTCATACGACACACAGTTCTCTATCGATGTAGTGGAATTAAACAACATTGTGGCTTCCGAATGGGCAACAATGTAGTTACAATTCTTCCAGTTGATACACCTAATTACGAAGAGCCAGATTGCCGAATACCCCTCTATTTACCTAGTGAAAATATTAATGCTATTAGTAAAAATAGTAGATTATTAAACTTTTATTCTAACAATTTGGATTCTCAACGAGGAGCTGATGGCGTACAAGTGACTCTTGTTTCCGATAATTCAAGTTTCATGATTGATTCAGTTGATGATGAAATGACTTTGGGTGACATTCGTCATAAAGCAGCTCAATTAATTGGTAAGAGCCCATGTAAAATGGTTTATTTGACTCATTTGACTCTCCATGATGATAAGAGTGTTAATTATTATAAGTTTCCACCAGGAAAATCTGATATAACTTTGATTCCTGGTGATGGCCACTTTAAATATGATGCTAATGATGTTCTACATTTAAACCGATTTCAGGAAAATAAAAGTCTTGCAAATAAGCCATCAAACTTAAGTATATAACAATTGCTATTTGTAAATTAATAAAAAATTACCTGTTGAATAAGATAAATGAATTTACTAAAATTGAGTAAACACTTTTTATATAAAGACTTGGGTGTAACTCTTTGGGTCATTGAGAAGGAAGAGTTTCCAATGAATGAGTTGATTAAAGTTCGGGTTGAGGCCAAGAAACAGGAAAAACGGAGTCACATTGGGTCAGTGTTTGGTCAGTTGATGGATTCCAAGTACAAATAAACTGGCTCAAGGTTAAAGTCAAGGTTTAGGACAATCTATTCATTAAATGATTTTCTTATTCATAAGATTATCAAATACAGTCGTGAAAAATGAGTTTCGAATGGTTTTTAATCATTCGCGCAACTTAGCTTCTAAAATTAATTGATAATCTTTATCATCAGTGATAAGACTTAGATGATTTACTCATTGATTTTTCTTATCTTGATTGTTTAATCTATTAATTTTAGTCGCTACCTGCGCGAATGATTAAAAACCATTCGAAACTCATTTTTCACGACTGTATAATATTGAGCAATAGTCTAATCTGAATGCTATCAGGATTTATTTGCACTTTCTAATATTTTATTAAATTGATGAATATTTATGCTTCTTTCTTTTATGCAAGTTAATGTAATTGTCTTGTTAGTAAGATTTTTATGTAGGTAAGTTGATTGTATTAATTAATTGTGTCAATTGTATGGTAATTGTATATTTTATGGGAAAACTGTTCTCTTTGATTGTTATGAGAAAACCCGATACGAGATTGTAACTCAATTGACAAAAATTCTTGGTAAATCTAAGGATAGATTGAAATTGGAATCTGATAGAGCCAAAGATGCCCAAGATTATGATAATCCAGCTCAGTTTGGTTTCAACAAGAAACAATTTTGTATATGTGAAGTTGCAGGTAAATTGAATTGAATCAGTTTCTTTAATCGTTTCATTGTTTTTTTATCAATTTCTTTTTGTAACTAATTCTTTTGTTTATTTATTGTTCTTTTTCAGGTCAAGTTCCATGTTCAGGTACTTGCCCATTACCGAAGAAATGTCTTGGTTACTATAAACAGTACAAGCCAGAGGAACTTGAAAAATGGAACCAAGATTTAGATGCTGATTATTTGACTGAGAAACAGAAGCAAAAGAGATTCATGTGGTTCCCACCTCATGCTAAGCCGGTTCTCGATTATTTACCTGACATCGAGAAACCTTTCCTCAGGGAATTCGGTCAAACCCCTGGTAAAGATATTGCACCACCCGATTCGTATTATGAATGGAAAGCTCGTCAAGAGAAAAAGATTAAGTGATTTTTTTTAGTTGTATTAAAAGTCAAAGAAAAAGTTTAGATAAAAATCAAGTTTGATTTCATTTTGATTGACTGTGAATACTTTTTGTATACAAATGCTGTAAATATTAATAGTAATAGTATGAGTATGATTGTGATTATGAGATGATTCAAGCCGATGTAGGAGAGATTGATTTGGGTTTCATGTCAATTGGTATTTCTGCCATTTCGGTTTCCGTCTCATCGTCTTTAAGGGGCAATTCAAAGGCTGCGTTACTTGGTGCGACAACCACTGAATCCCATACGGACATGTTGTTTGTGATTCCATAAACATCGGGTTCAAGACCGAGAATGACTTTGTAACCTTCACCGTAACAAAGGATTCGAAGTAAAGTTTGCGCTGTCATACAAATGGAATCTTGTTGAACCAAAGTGAGACCAGCATGAAGTGAGGTCGTTCCATTTTCACAAGGATCAGGAATACCAGTTGATCCAGGTAAGAACGAGCCTCCTGCAAGTAATTGGAGAACTCGCTTGAAGGCGCAATTAAGTCTCCATTCAGAATCAAAGAAACGGATGTTTCTTTTCATTATAATGACAGGGAAATTCCTAATGATAATAAAGTTACTCCTCATTCATTGGACATTGGAAATGGTGTTGATGTTTTCGTTGATTTGAAATAATAAATTACGCTAGTGGAAAATGACAAAGATAATTTCAATCGTAAATTTTTTGGACAACAACAGTGATTAGTACAATGTATTGAGATTTACCAAGAGCCTCATTCAACCCAAGAGGGTGAAGATTATTTATCAATTAAATTGGAACAAATTTTCGGAAATGAAGTAAAGAAAATGAATTAATTGTTTCATGCAAATGTGAAAAGAAATTGATTTACCATCAACCTCAGCACATTAAATAATCAACTCATATGATGCTTTGGTTAATAATATTCTTTATATCTCAATTGTATTTAAATTTCGATTATTCTATTAAAACTTGACCATTGTATGAAAAGGACAATTAAATCAAATGGACATCGAATTGATTTTTTTATATCAGTATTGATCTATGAATACATTAGCTGTTGATCATTTAATACCATTGAATTCACCACAATCAAAGTAAATTATTAACTATCATAATTGTTATAAATTGTTGTTTAATTTCGTAATTAGATTGTTAATTGACAAAGAGCGCAAGTGTGAATTGATTTGATTAACAATTGAATAGTTTTCAAATCATTTACGATAACGATTGATCCTTGTTAATTTTTAAACAATCAATTTATGACGAAATGAGATTAAACAAACTAAACTTAACAATTGGAATATTCAATGTGAGTATACAATCTGATTTTGTCAATTATTTGAATTACAAGTAATTAACTTAAACAATCAATAGATTTTTGGAGTTGGGATGTTCGAGGAAGACGATGATGGAAATATAACTCCTCAAGTTGATTCGGTGAAAAAATTTTTAGATTTAATAACAATTTATGCAAACTTAAAGTGTGTATTTACTTTGTTATGTTGATTAACTCTAATTGTGTCCAAATGTTCAACAATTAGCGGTATTGTTTCAGAGGAAAAATTTTATCTACACAGTTTTCCTCGAACTGGATCGACAATCAACCAAAATGTTATCGAAAGTTTTCACTTTTTCACCCTAACAACTTGGCTAATCATCTTAATTGTAATTTATTTTCTCGAATTTATTTCAACTTACAAAAATTTGTCTAATCGCCTTGGTAAACATTTGATTAGCTCAGTGGTACAATTACCATCAACGATATTTTATCAGTATATTGCTTATCGATCAATCTTTCGACTATCACAACTTATTTTGATTGTATTTCTCACTAGTATTTTCACTGCTTCTTTTAGCACTGGTACGATTTCTGGTACAGGAGATATTCGGGTAAATACCCTGAGAGAAATCGTTGACTATGACAAGACACCCATTTTCTTCGAACGTATCTCAATGTTTGATCTTTTTGAACGTAAAGTGACCAAGGAATACGCGGATGTGTACAAATTAGCAGAATCAAAGGGAACGGCAAAAGCCTTCACAATCGGTGTCAAGACAAAATATCGTGAATACTCATCAGATGTTGTGGCCATTTTATCCGACAAGGTCGGTAAAATCGGTAATGTAATAGATGGGACTGACCATCCAGCGGCTAAATACTCGTACTGGTCCGAGACACCTTTTTATCGAGCATCAAGTGGATTCATTATGAATCCAAAGCGAAATATCAACCAGATAAAGAGAAGATTAAATTCAGTGTGAGTATCAATTGAATGGTTACTTTGGGTGATTAGCTAATTGTTTTTACTTTCTCCCAATAGAACCTCTAAATTGTTACAATCATCATTGACTGATTTTCTTTTTGTTAAAATTGTCCGAGAATTAGTTCAACGAATACCATTATTCACTGTAACTGATTTCCAGTTAAATAAACGCACTTATCCAATCAATAAGATTCAAATTAAATACACACCGTTTGGATTCAGCGGATTAAGATCTGTAATTCAAATTTCAATCATAATGATTTTGATTTGTTGTATTATCATTTTCTTAATTGAATTAAGTGTCGGTAAAATAATCTAAATTGTAAATCATTTTCACGAAGTTCTTTTCTTTCTGAGAAATTAAATTTTCACTAGCTCGATTTAATATTAATAATTTTATTTTATTTTATTTAATTTAATTTCAATAACCGATCACCAAATACTCACAATATTGAAAATTGTCAACGTATTAGTTATTATCAACAACTTTGTTGATTAGATAACTAAACTTACATGTATATCTAACATTGAAGCAATGATTTAATCTAATTGCTCTCAACTTGATCATCTAACCAATTTATTGCTCATTAATCAGAGATTAGTGACTATACAGAAAGCACCAATCTCAATTGCAATGATCAATACCTAATATTCATTTACAGTAGTTATGCTAACGTAGTCACTGATTGTTTTCATTCAAATTATTTTAAATAGAAATATGAAAAAAAGTTTGTTAAAACATCAAATGGACTGAGTAAATGCCTTTACTTTATCTACCCAAGATAATACTTGAACTATGTTTGCCTGTGACTCTGTGAGCCCATTGGATCAATTGAAATCATCAGGCGAACGTAAGGAAACTGGAGATTCAAAGCCTAAGAGTAGAAATGGAGATAAATTGGAATTGAAACATTTTCATGATCAAACATTAGCTCAAGATTATGTTTGTAAAATTTGTCAATTTATGGTCGTTGATCCAAGGGAACACAATGTAATTGGATCGACATTTACCTGTGCATCGTTATTTTGTTACAATTGTATTTGTAATTGGATTAAATCGGGTAAAAGTTACTGTCCATCTCCAGGATGTTTGACTATTGGATTTGAGGAATCAGCTTTTCGGGAGATTGGTGCTCGAGATGTAGCTCGATTATCGGGACTGATGATGAACTGTCCTTTTTCGTGTGGATTAAAACTCACTTATTCTGATTACACTTTTCTATCTCATCGGAACCAATGTCCATCTAATCCAGAAAATATGTGTAAGATTTGCAAGTCACCGAAACTGGACTCTGGCGGTGTACATGATTGTAGAATCGTTTTCAATGAGATGAGACAGAAAATAGACTCACTGAACATTAAGGTCTCTGAATTAACTCTTGTGATTGACCAGCTACGAAGCGAATTGGTCACAGTCAAGAAAGCAGAAACAAATACAAAAACTGGACCATTAGAAAGTAAAAATACGACGATTATCAAAGATGCGAAAGAAACGAATGACCAGGAAGGAAAAGAATCAAATAAAGTACTGACCACTTTCTATTCCAATAGTTATCTACCCAAACCTGGTTCATTTTCCGGTGTTAATCTGGTTTTCCATTATGGTGAAAGGTCAATTAATTTCGATGATGTTCAATCTACTTATACCATTCGGACACTTCGATCACTTATAACCGACACTTTAGGCCACGATCCTGGTCAAATGTATTTCATGCGACACAAACTAGTGAACGATAAAGATATAATTAAATATTGTGGCTTCCGAATGGGCAACAATGTAATTACAATGCTTCGTACTGATACTCCGAATTACGGTAAACCAGGTTTCTCGATATCTCTCAATTTACCTCGTGAAAGTCAAACGAGTGACGATAGTAGACAAAACAGATTGTTAAACTTTTACTCCAACAATTTAGACTATCAACATGAAGCAAATACTATGATTTTCACTCTCATGTTTGGAAAATCAAGATATATGAAAGATTATATTTACGTCGAAAGGACCATGGGAGGTTATCGTAAGCTATCAGGTTTCACAATCGGATATGACGCAATTAAAATGGTCTATTTGACCCATTTGACGCTCGAGGATAATATAACTGTTAGTCATTATGGTTTTCCACCAGGAAGAACTGACATCACTCTAGTTCCAGCTAATTGTCCACTTACATATGATGCTAATGGTGCTCTTCATTTGAACCAATTCCTAACTCGTAAAGATCTAAGAAACAGGCCACCGTATGAAGCATATAAAACATATAACGAACCACCTTTAGTAATCTACCAAGGTGGAGGAAATTAATGATACCGTTTTCAGAATTTTTTATTTAAGAATCAGAATATTCAAGAATTATGAAAAATTGTGAATAGAGAGCTGAAAGTCTCAACTTTCGAAATAAGTTGAAAAAATTATTAACAAATCAGTAATTTTGCTAATTAATTAATTTTTCTAAAAATGTCCATTTTGAAAAATTTTAATTTGAAAAGCCCCATAGACTTAACATGGAGGAAAAGTTCAATTTAACATGTAAAAATTTTCCTCTTCAACTTTTTGTCTTTTTTGTATCCTTTTCTATGTTAAAACTCTAAAAAATTTAAAAAGAGGTAATTGCACTAAATGGACAATTGCGAGGATATTATTTAATTTACGAAAAAATTAACTTCGGATTTATTAATTTGACATATGAGAGCAGCATGCTAATCAAAAAAATCATTTCTATCAATAGTTTTTGAAACATAATTAATTTTCAAAATCGGTATCATTAATTTCCTCCACCTTGGTACACCAATAGAGAATAGTACTCCAATAGATTGGACTGACATGATTTTCGAACTCATAATTTAATAAAATTCAAATATAATACTGAGCAATAGTCTAATCTAAATGTTGATAATAGTTATTCTAACTTTCTGATGATTTAACCAAGGCGTTATTTCGTTTATCTAGTTAATTATTGTATCGCGATTAATATTGATAACTTTTAGATTGATTCTACTCCCTTTTTACTGTTACAATACAACTTAAGTCACCATTGATTGTAATTTTTCAATTTGTCAGCTTTTGATTAATAATATTAATTGTAGAGATAGTTGTTAACTGAATTAATAAATGGACTTGTTGAATGACTTGACTTCATCTACTGGTGATAATCCTTTAATTGTGTTTGACTGTGACTCTGTGAACCCATTGGATCAATTGACATCATTATGTGAACGTAAGGAAACTGGAGATCCAAAGCCTAAGAGTAGAAATGGAGATAAATTGGAATTGAAACATTTTCATGATCAAACATTAGCTCAAGATTATGTTTGTAAAATTTGTCAATTTATTGTCGTTGATCCAAGGGAACACAATGTAATTGGATCGACATTTACCTGTGCATCGTTATTTTGTTACAATTGTATTTGTAATTGGATTAAATCGGGTAAAAGTTACTGTCCATCTCCAGGATGTTTGACTATTGGATTTGAGGAATCAGCTTTTCGGGAGATTGGTGCTCGAGATGTATCTCGATTATCGGGACTGATGATGAACTGTCCTTTTTCGTGTGGATTAAAACTCACTTATTCTGATTACACTTTTCTATCTCATCGGAACCAATGTCCATCTAATCCAGAAAATATGTGTAAGATTTGCAAGTCACCGAAACTGGACTCTGGCGGTGTACATGATTGTAGAATCGTTTTCAATGAGATGAGACAGAAAATAGACTCATTGAACATCAAAGTTTCTAAGTTAACTCTTGTGATTGACCAGTTACGAAGCGAATCGAATGCTAAGAAGGAGACAACGTCCACAACTGAACAAACCGTTAAGAAAAAAGAGATCTTCAGACAGGATATAAAAGGAGAAATTACTAAGCAAAACTCATCGAGTAATGAACAAGTGATCAATGTAATCAGATCAAAAGCGGAAAATCTCAGTCAAAAAGAAATGGATAAAGTATTTACCACTTTTTATTCAAATAGTTTTTGGTCTAATGGTAAATATGGTTCATCTGCTGGCATTAATTTGGCTTTCCATTATGGTGAAAGGTCAATCAATTTCTATGATATTCAATCTACTTGTACCATTCAAAGCCTTCGATCACAAATTGCCGACAAATTAGGCCACGATCCTGGCCAAATGCTGTTCATGCAACACAGGTCACTCTACAAAAGTAATAGAGTTGGCTATTGTGGCTTCCAAATGGGGAACAATGTGATCACAATACTTCCGATTGATACTCCGAATTATGGTGAACCAGATTGTCTCCGAATGACTCTCCATTTGCCAAGTAAAAGTAGATCAATGGTCAATAGTAAGCAGAGTAGATTGTTGAACTTTTATTCCAACAATTTGGATTCTCAACAAGGAGCCAATCGAATTAAATTGACTCTTGTTTCCGACAATTCAAGTTTCATGATGGATTCAGTAGAAGATAAACTTACCATGGGAGATATTTGGTATCGATCAACTCGCTCTTTTGGAAATGATCCAATTAATATGGTTTATTTGACTCACTTGGTTCTCGAAGATAAAATGACTGTTAATCATTATGGTTTCCGAAAGGGAACAACTGACATCACTTTGGTTCCAGTTAATTGTCACCTTAACTATGGTGCTAATGGTGCTCTTCATTTAAAAAGATTCGAGACAAATACAAATCATGCAAACAAATCATCACGTGAATATCGCCCATATCACTCGTATTACAATTTTTTCGAAAATAAGTTCAAAGAGTGACCACAATACGCACAGGAGTAACTAATTTTCAATTACTTATAACAAGCGCATGAAATAATACGGACATTAACCCCATTTAGATTTAGTTGATTAGAAATTTGCAGTTGTAATACCAATTACTTGTGATTTGATTGAAGCAAATTTGAGTAAATCACAGTAATCACTTGAGCCTTTTTTGAATTGGTCATCATTTTGATTGATTGTGAATACTTTTTGTATACAAATGCTGTAAGTAGTATGAGTATGATTGTGATTATGAGATGATTCAAGCCGATGTAGGAGAGATTGATTTGGGTTTCATGTCAATTGGTATTTCTGCCATTTCGGTTTCCGTCTCATCGTCTTTAAGGGGCAATTCAAAGGCCGCGTTACTTGGTGCGACAACCAATGAATCCCATACGGACATGTTGTTTGTGATTCCATAAACATCGGGTTCAAGACCGAGAATGACTTTGTAACCTTCACCGTAACAATTGTGCTGTTATACAAATCGAATCAATTTGTTGAACCAAAGTGAGAATAACCGTCAAGGCGAAAGATCAGCAAATCCTTCAAATCGATTGCAAACATCCTTTAAAACTCTAATAAGAACCTTAACTGTGGACAGATTTACGGACTCTTCGAACTTATAATTATCATAGTTCTCTTTTTGAAAGATCCAATACATCTAGTTAATACACAATAAAGAGAATTAACAAGAGAAACAATACATCATCAATATAAGAATAAATTGATGTCACAAATGTCAATAATTAACTAAAAGTCAAGGTTAATTGTGAAAGAACGGATCAGAATTTATTTCAACTTCGTGTGACTATAAACTTAACTCGTTCTTATTGATTGTTAGTCAGTTGATTGTTCTGGTTTGATGATGAAAAGTAAACACTTTTTATATAAAGACTTGGGTGTAACTCTTTGGGTCATTGAGAAGGAAGAGTTTCCAATGAATGAGTTGATTAAAGTTCAAGTTGAGGCCAAGAAACGGGAAAAACGGACAATGGGACAAGAGAGTTTCTGTTAATTATTGTCATTGTTAATATTGATAATCGATCATCAAAACCTAAAGGTAAACATTTATAACAATTATTTACATTTAGCTTCATAGAAATACAATTCATTGATTAGGTAACTAAATTTTCGTGTGCAAATTTGATTCAAATCTAATCAATTAAAAACTTAGCAACAATCAAGATGATTTAATCTGATTGTAATTGTTGGTCGTTCTTCACCTACTTTCTGGTCAATTATTAATTCAAATAACAAACTCTTATCATCTAATTAACTCATAAATTGATTGTGAAAATATTCAGAGAAGATTCAAAGATTCTTGCCTTGATTTCCTCGCGAGAGAATATTAATTTCCGAATGAAACATAAGTAACAATTAAAACAAAAGATTTAATCTCTTCTTCGCAACAAATGTAACAATTAGTTAATTAATAGGTGTTTTCTCATCTCAAACTACTGATAATCAGACTTGATAAAAATTGCTAATTGTTTCTGTCGTAAATCAAACAGAAAAATCTCAATAACTGATCTAATTAGAGATTAACCAAAATCAATAATGATAATTGAATTGAAAAATTATCAATTTGTTTAGTTTTTTTACCCATAGGGTTTTAAGCTACAGACCAATTGATTTCAACAAAGCTTCAGAGTCCATTGTTTGTTATGTTTCAATTTGTCAGCTTTTGATTCATTGTAATTGTCTAAATAGTTGTTGATCAAATTATTGATAATAAATGGCCTTGTTGAATGACTTGACTTCATCTACTGGTGATAATCCTTTAATTGTGTTTGACTGTGACTCTGTGAACCCATTGGTTCAATTGACATCATTATGTGAACGTAAGGAAACTGGAGATCCAAAGCCTAAAAGTAGAAATGGAGATAAATTGGAATTGAAACATTTTCATGATCAAACATTAGCTCAAGATTATGTTTGTAAAATTTGTCAATTTATTGTCGTTGATCCAAGGGAACACAATGTAATTGGATCGACATTTACCTGTGCATCGTTATTTTGTTACAATTGTATTTGTAATTGGATTAAATCGGGTAAAAGTTATTGTCCATCTCCAGGATGTTTGACCATTGGATTTGAGGAATCAGCTTTTCGGGAGATTGGTGCTCGAGATGTAGCTCGATTATCGGGACTGATGATGAACTGTCCTTTTTCGTGTGGATTAAAACTCACTTATTCTGATTACACTTTCCTATCTCATCGGAATCAATGTCCATCTAATCCTGAAAATATGTGTAAGATTTGCAAGTCACCGAAACTGGACTCTGGCGGTGGACATGATTGCAGAATCGTTTTCAATGAGATGAGACAGAAAATAGACTCATTGAACATCAAAGTCTCTAAGCTGAATGGTGTAATAGATCAGTTACGAAGCGAATTGGCCACAGCCAAAAAAGAAGAAACTAAGACGAAGAATGAACCATCCGAAATCAAAAAGGAAGCCATTGGTAAAGACAAAAAAGGAGCAAATGACCAGAAAGGAAAAGACAATCAACCGATAGTGAGCAAAACTGACACTGGAACAAATAAAAAGGACAAGAAAAGTCAAAAAATTACCACAGAAAAGCAAAATTCATCGAAAGAAAAACAATTAACCAGTGGAACTAAATCAGGAGATAAGGATGGTGGTCAAGCAAAAGAATCAAATAAAGTACTGACCACTTTCTATTCCAATAGTTATCTACCCAAACCTGGTTCGTTTTCCGGTGTTAATCTGGTTTTCCATTATGGTGAAAGGTCAATTAATTTCGATGATGTTCAATCTACTTATACCATTCGGACACTTCGATCACTTATAACCGACACTTTAGGCCACGATCCTGGTCAAATGTTGTTCATGCGACACAAACTAGTGAACGATAAAGATATAATTAAATATTGTGGCTTCCAAATGGGAAACAATGTGATCACAATACTTCCGATTGATACTCCGAATTATGGTGAACCAGGTTTTCGATTGTCCCTCTATTTACCTCGTAAAAGTAAATCGAGTGACGATAGTAAACAAAGTAAAATGTTGAACTTTTATTCCAACAATTTGGATTCTCAACAAGGAGCCAATCGAATTAAATTGACTCTTGTTTCCGATAATTCAAGTTTCATGATGGATTCAGTTAAAGTCGAAAGGACCATGGGTGACATTCGTAATCAAGCAGCTACTTTAATTGGTAATAATCCAATTAAAATGGTCTACTTGACTCATTTGACACTCGAAGATAATATGACTGTTAATCATTATGGTTTTCCACTTGGAACCACTGATATAATTCTGGTTCCAGTTGATTGTCACCTTAAATATGGTGCTAATGGTGCTCTTCATTTGAACAGATTCCAGACAAATAAAAGTCATGGAAACAAATCATCAGCTAAATCAAATTCCCTCGCGTCTTTGGTTTAATCAAATGCTCTTTGAAATTACCAAGACCAAACAATGAGATTAATTTTGATTGTTATTCAACTTACATTTTCAGTATAAAAAACATGAAAGTTCAACTTGATTGAGTTATCAACAATAACAATTAACTTACCCAATTTTAGAAGACGATGATTGATGAATAGTTAATTGTTTATTATCCAAATACAATTATTTTACTGATAATTTACTTGCTCCGTCCTAAAGTATATTTAATTCTGAGTTAGTAAATCCAGTCTATTTTCATTCATTTTCAATTACTATTAATATTTACAATGAAATTTGAAATTTGTAATTTCAAATAGTAAACACAAAGAAAAAAAATTTCAAATTTTTACAATCAAATGTAATCAGAATTGTTTTCAATTACTTTCCGATGATCAATTAAGTCGCCATTGAGCTCATCGTAGAGTTTGATTAACAATGTAACAGAATTTATTAAAACAATTAAAAGACGAGAGAAAGATTATTTTGCTATATCTTTACTCTTTTCCTTTATGTCTACGTTTTTTTTTCTTTTTTTTTCTAAATTAATCTAAATAATTCTATTATTTTATATAAATAACGGGTGACCGAAAATGAGTCAGTATCTCATGAATCTTAAGTTTATGACCCACATTTCTATACATTTAAGAAAGTAAATTTGACGCTGAGTCCAAAAATGTTCGATTCTTTTTTTTAGGACGTGCGGTTCTCGAGAAATGTTGAACCGATTTAAAGTAAAAAATTTCTCTCTTGCTCTCTGTCTCTTTGTAAGTTGTTTTAGTTGGTGCTATAAGTGAAGTTTCTGTTCCGGGTTTATATTTACATATATTATCAGTTGATTATCGTGGTTCATCTTATCCAAAAATGGAAACAATTGATTGCTCATCAAGAGGCTCACAATTTTTCAAATTATTTGGAACCTCAACTGAAGATGAAATTTTTAAAAGTATTGGTGTTATTGTCTCATTATCACAGCGAAATAGTCCATCAACTCATAATTGGGATGTTAATGATCTAATATAAATAATTCTCGGGGTTTCCACGGTAATCCATTTCCATAACGAAATGATGGTAGTAGCTTTCAAGCACCCGATAGTAAAACAAATTGTTCAATTGATTCGTATATTATTGGTTCTTCATTATTGTCTCGTAAAGGATTAACCGAGTCTAAACTAAACTGTGATTGATTATGGAGTACCAATGATCTGTTTTCACCATTATCTGATAGCTTTTACAATTCATTGTCAGCCACATCTACCTCTCTTTCTAAAGGCTTAGAGCCATGTATCAATACAAATACTTAAAATACTACCTCTTCTCCAGTAGCCTCTTGTTTTGATATTGTTACCTCAAATCACCACCACATTCAACGAAATGACTCCGTTCGTCGATTTCATTAAATCTTAATGGTAACAGTAAGTCATCATATCTATTCCCGCCTCTGGTTAAAGGAAATGGTAATGATATTGAACCAGGGACCAGCATTTGTCATTCTAATGCTGTTAATGTAGCAACATCTCGTCGTGGAACTAGTCATTATGCCTCATCATCATCTTCTTCCTCCATTGTTGACTCACCACGAATCCATAAAGATGAATTTGAATCTCAAATAGCCAAGATAGCCAACGAGATCTATTATGATCCAGTAAAGTGTAAGGTATGTTTTAAGTTGATGATTGGGATGATCTTAAATGTTGATTATGATTACAGTCAAGTACCTAAAACTGTCCACGTAAAATTGTCCATAGACCGTGGCTCCATCTTTCAAATTGGAACTAGTCCCAATTGTTTTAATTAGAATAATTATTTTGTTTCTCAATTAAATCTCATCAAATCGGTCTAAAACAATTAAAATCAATATTTTCTATTTAATTTCCCATTATCTTAGAAATTAAAATTAGTTAAATATTTTTTTTAATCGAAATAATTTTTAGATTTTAACCCTTTCGAATTGCCCGCTCTAAAAAAAATTTGGACAGTTTTAGGTACTTGACTGTATATGGGAACAATAAATAATTCAGTTACAAAATGTTATATTTACAAAAATTTACAACGATTAAATATACAGTAAACAACCAGATAATGAGACTGCATAAAGTCGGCAATTTTTTAAGCGATGATTTGGATCATCGCGAAATGGACAATCATGGATCCTGTAGCATTGATGACGGACATTGATCTTGCATTCATTTAGGACATGGTACAAATAGCAATAATAACTATCAGGTATTTTGAATAGTGAATGTAATTTGACCGCAATTTTGTATCCAAAATCACAAGCAGTGACGCAAAAAGTTCCATGTTTTTCCAATGGTAATCGCTCAATTATACCTCTCTTTAC